AGTTAGATGACAGTTCAGTGCTCCTATTAAAGATTTAAGGTGTGTAATCCAACCGCCGCATACAATAGCCAAAACAGTTACCATGTCATGGATTCAACTCAGTTATTAGGGTTTCCTTTAGTGCTTAGCTAATGCAATGGTTTTTTAGCAGAACCAGGTCACTCGATCTTACCAGGTATCCAAAACTCTTCTGAATAGTTAGTTTGTCTAGTTTGCCTAATGTTTACAACAGCACATCTCTGACCAGTTGTACCATTGTTTGATTTGCTAGTTTCTGATGACCTGGAATTGGTTGTGTATAGTACTGAGTCATCCCAGAAGACAATAGGTAAAAATGTTCCCAGTGGGAACTCAAGACTATGTGCTTTTCCATCTCATGCAAGATGCATCATTGGATGTGATCATGCTTTGTGACAATTCATAGCCACCTGCTCCTCGTGCTTCCTCTATGTCTATCCAATGGGTGGGTCTTCAGAGCCATCATGAATGTAGTAACTCATGCTAGCTAGTATATGCTATATTGCAATTCAAGTCTCATAGTTTCCACTAAGTTAATGAAATTCATAATTTTTAAATTCTGATTATTCTTTGTATATGTACATGTGAATCTGCACATATGTAATACATGTAATATATGTTTACATGTAATATATCTTTTCAGATTGTGTTAAGGCTTCATCTTCAGGTTTCCAAATGACTCACCCTAGACTTTACTTACTAAAAAATTTAGGCAAAAATATGTAAGAAAGTAAAATTACCTACTCTACTTTAAGTAATAATTGCTGTAATGGACCCTGGAAGGCATTTATTTGTGTGTGCATGTTTTTATGCATGTGTGTGTGTATGTGTGTGTACATCTGCCTATCTGTCTTTTTTTCCCCACACAACAAGCATCACTTTATTTTTACTCTACTAAATTGCAGCAGTTTTCATAATCTAAATACCTAACCTGTATTTTCAATTAAATTCAGGGTTTCATGACAACCTGCTTTGCCCTGCCCACCACTAACCAGCCATTTCATGTTTCTTCCCCAGCACCAGGTGAAACAGATTATGTAGATACCACTACCAAAGAACCTCTCAGGCCAGAGGAGCCAAGGACAGAAAGTGGTAAAATTTTCCAAGCTATGATTCACTTATTCTACTATATAAACTCTGATACTTGATTTAACAGATTTAAAGGGCTACACTTCCAATCCACCTATCAATCCACCCACTTCTCACCCCGCCCCTTACTGGGGATCAATCTAGGGATTCACATGTTTCTGTATGTGCTTTAGCAATGAGCCACGCACATCAGCAACTCTAAGACAATTGCATTTTTAGAATTAACGTGATAGTTGATACTCCTTGAAACAAAAAGTCTATATTTGTTAGTATCTGAAGATCAAAGCATAATCGCATTTGAAAGTCAGTTGTTGATAAAATATGAATATTAGAGGTTTAATACTATGAAATATGACTTTCCTCCTTTTTGTCCTGTCTAAAAAACATCGTCTTGTCTATGATATTATGACATTAATTCTTGAGAATGAGATTGCAGATACTCAAGAAACACTTGTGGAGCTGAATGTCTTCCCATTTTTAAACGCATTCTCCTTTGTTTTGATACAGTTGTGGAGTCTCTTACACATGTGTCTGAGCTTCCTGAGACCCTGCTAGGTAATGACATCCTCAGCAGCACATCTCTGTGTTCTGTGTCTTCATTGCATCATCACTCAAGAGTCTCATGATCGCCCTCATTGTGAATTCATGTGGCACTTGCTTTCTCTGTCATTGAATTTTCTTCCTAGTTGTTCCTGTTCATAATCATTGTTCAAAAATGTCTTTTCATGTAGCATCATCATCTTGGTCTCCTACTATTCTTATGTCAGCCAAACTGTTGAATATAAAATATATCATTTTCCCTAGTATTTCAGTCACTGCCAGCTCAGCACTATCTGGCTGAGGCTTATGATCTATTTACATTTTCTGACCTAGAGATGTACTTCCCATTAACAGTCTTTCCATCATGTTGACTTAACATGTTTGATTCTCCATTATCTGTCATCCAAGTGAAAGTCTATACTTCTTAACTGGTTTTTGTTATCATTTTAAAGTTATCTTTCCCCCTTCAGAGTTCTTATTGAATATATCATTCAAGCATTGTTAAAGAGGTGGAGATTTTTGAAGTAATAATATTGCTTATCTCAAAAGTATTTTACAATCTGACATCTATCTTTTTTAAATAGAATGAGTTATGAAGAAGTATGGGAATACTAACTTCCTGAGATTTAGCCATTTTCTTTTCTTTTCTTTTCTTTTGACATCTGTTTGTTACCATCCTGTTGTCTGTAATCTGAGTTTGTCAAGCACTATAGTAACCCCAGTATAATTTCCTTCAATTACCATAGAAACATCACCTCTGCCTTCCCAAACTATAATCCTACTCAGACCAGATGTGCCTCAGACTGAACCTGGTAAATACACTATTTTGAATTTCATATATGAGGTGAGTGTTTGTAAAATGACAACATGACCTGTCCATTTCGAAGCCCTGGCTATCATTCATCTCAGTCTTCGACGGGTGAGCTTGCTTTTCTGACATAACATCTCTCTGTCTGTCATCAGTAATCTCTCTCTCACATGGCAATGTATAAATCTTTATATAATGTTGAAAATTACCTCTCCACTACTTTTAGTAGTTTTAGTAGTTTTTAGTTCAAGAAATGGTAAGAATTAGTAGTTTTAGTAGTTTTTAATTCAGGAAGTAGAAATGTTTAAAAATATTTTCTATTCTATTTAAATATATACATATATACACACATATATATGTATATATTTGAATTACTTTGTTGTCTTGACCATCTTTACAACTGTAAAGTATTTTGAGATATCTTACTCATGTTTGAAATCATACGATACTGACAGAACCAGGTTTTGCTGTATAATCCACATAAAGGGGTATTGATCAATCCTCTTATCATTATTCGGAGGCCTCACTTCTGCTCACTTTTTTTTTCAATAATCCGGTGTCTCTTTATATCCTTCCCCTAGTATTAGAAAAACTGGTATCAAACTATTAGTCATAAAATTTTCCTTGATGGTGGAATTTGATCTGAATGAAAGCAAATCACCTTTGTGGATAATAAAATTTCTGCAGTACCTACAGCTTCCCCATGGAATAGGAGTTAAATATGAATAGGCCCTAGCTTATGTTTGGTTGTCATTGAACTATTTTTAAGCCAGGCATGAAGTTCATGTCTATAACCCCAGCAATTTATGAGGCTGAAACAGGAAGACAGAGTTTAAAGCCAACCTCAGATACATAGTAAGATAATTTGTCTCATACCCTTTTCTCAAAAAAATACTTTATATGGTTCTATTTCCAATGGAGGTAGAATATTAATTTACATCACTATATTCTAAAGCACATATTAAATATGTTTCCTAATAAATGGTACAGTTTGACTTCTTACCTGAATTCTTCATTGACTACAGGAATGGGATCCGTCTCACATCATCACAACTACCACCGCCAAAAATTCTTTCAATAACCTATTAACATGATATTGAGTGTCTAGTTCTATGTACTACCTGTGATTTTTTTTACTCTTGTTTTTGCTTTTATTTTGTGAGAACAAACACTTGCCATGTAGCCCAGGCTGGCCCAGAACTCAATATTCTCCTACCTCGAACCCTCAAGTGCTGAAATCACAGGTATCCACCCCATGTTTGGCCACCAGTCATCAGATGACATTTGGAATTGCTTCTCAACGTATTTTTGTCACCACATGGTCTTTTGTGCCCGGGGAAAGCAAATGGCACATCAGTTAGGACCTCAGGAAGAAGGGAGCCTGCACCACGACATCACTAATACATTCAAATAATTAATTTTAGGATTACAACACTTCCTAAGCATGTGTCAGTTTTGGTAGAGATTGTGTCCATTGGCCCTGATTAGCGAATGATGCTCTAAACCACCAGATTATTTTAAACCGAAGTAACTTCCTGTGTATCTTGGTCTTTATCTCTTTACAGGCTAGAGACGTGGCCCTAACACCGCCGTGTATCTTGTATGTTCCCATTTCTTATCAGGAAGAAGTCAATCAACCTTGCAGATTCACACACCAACTTCCAGTGTCTAGCAACTTGTTCTTGGTGAATGATTCTTAAAGTTCTCAAACCACATAATATTAACACCAGTTTGTTTCTTCTTCTTAAAAGTCCAATGCCAAATAGTTCTTACTTTCAGCAATGTTTTTCTTAAGACATCTAAAACGGCATGGCACTGTGGATACCATTTTGTGCGTTTTGATCTTTATTTTTCCCACACACATTTTAGTTCCGCTGAAGGCAGTGTTCTCAGAGGCGCAAGCCCAGGCCTGATAACTCCTTTCCATTATTGGGATATACTTTTATTCACATACTTTTATCTTCTCACTGAAGAAAATAAATGATTTTTATACCAGTTTCTCTAGAGCCTTCCTTGGATCCTTGCCAGCGAAGGAACGCGGCTTAGAGAAGCTCTTTGGTGTTCAAGTTTTCTTCACCACTATAACCAATAGAATTGTGCGTTGTGTAATAATATATTTTTTTCCATCCGACTTGCTATTTAAATCATTCTGCTTGAATTTTTATTATAGTAATTTCTCTGTGCGGAAAAGATGTGTTTATATTTAAAGAATATTTAAAGCATATTTATGATAACGCGGATTAGTAATGAGATGACGGTTATTATGTGCTTCATTGTTAACCTATTTTAAAAGTATTTGAAGTAGGTATTTCTAAAACACCAAAGTTCTCTTTTATAAGCTGAAATCTGAGGTATGTTTAATCTGTTTCTTTTATCCTATATCCATAATCTCCCTCTCCTTTGCAGCTCTCTGAAGATTTTGGACAGAATTACTGGGTTTATTTAGCTTCAGTCACTCAGCAAATACCTTTGAGCTTCTAGAAAGCACAGGAGTTCTGGAAAGAGTCAAGGGTTCCAAATCTATGAATCTTTGTCTTTCTTTTAGCTCCCAGGCAGACACCCGGTACTCCCCACAAGCTTAAAACAACACCACGCCCAAGAATCCCACCACAACCTCCAGGTAACTACCAAGTTTATGATTTAACTTATAAGACTTAAAGTTAATGAGTTTCAATTTTTAACTGTTGTCAAAGAAGTCTTCCTTTCTGGGAAACCTAAAGTATTTATCATTACTTCTGGACTTCATCAGAAAGGCGAGTTCAATCCAGAAAGCTTTCCTAACCTCTTACTGTTTCAGATGGGGAGGTCCAAGAGTGGGTTTCCTTAAAGGAGCTGCTTACCCCCTTTTACCTACAAATTTAGGCTCTTTTCCTGGCCTTTCTGCTGTCCCACAATGTGCTTCCACTAACCTGAGTCCTGCTCCTAAAAATGACCCAGCCACTAAACAGGGGAGGAACATTACTGTCACTGATGGTCTACAAGCAAGAAAAGAAAATGTTAGCATCAATATTAGCCTTGGTCCAGATGGTAATTCTTGAATCCTACCAGGAATAGTTTAAATAATTTCAGGATCTCTGCTATTGTTCTAGGTATGACCTCTAATATTTGATTCTGCTTCTTATTCTTTTTAAAAGAACTGATTCAAAGACTATTCTATACTTTATATCTCACTAATAGTTAAAAATTTGCCCTACTTTATGTATTATTAATCTGTTCATATTAATTACTAAATTTTATTGTGACAATAATATTTTTGAGATGTAAATATATGGAAATAACTAACAATAAGAAGCAAAGTGAAATCTGACCCAAAGAACTGGAGTTTCTAAAGCCTGAGGTCTGGACACACGGATCATGTCTGGCCCTTGGAGTCTGTGGCAACTCTCAACTCTAGTACTTAATATGAGCCCAGTCATCAACCCAAGTCAGGCAAGCATATCTTGAAAGAAAAAGAAGCCCTCTATTAACTTAATTCCTGGCTCCTCTGATATGAGGATAAAACAAACCCTCTTTATCCCTTTATCCTGATGATGTCAAATGTTGTGATTTCTTGGACTTCATTTTCCAACAACAAGGAATATTCATTGGATTTCTACCTGATCTATTTTATAATTTATGTTATTCACTTTTCTGACTGACTCTATCACAGCTACCTTGTTCTTTATTACAGTTGAAGCTTATTCCCCATCAGGACTGATGTGTTAGCATGACTAAGAAACAAGAAACCCTAGCGACTCATGATCTGAGTTCTCTCTTTCAGTTCCTAGGGGATCTCAGCACACTATTTCCAAACCAAAAATGCCACCGAGTCCTGAAGTGACAGACACTAAATCTGGTAAGCATCTTATTTTGTATTTAAGCTAATCCTGCTTTCCCATGCACAGGCACTGAGACAGCTGAGTTCAGTGAGCTAATTCTATCATGCGCCCTGGTGGTTTTTATTTTCACAGTTGTCTTAGAAATTCTAATCGCACATGTAGTAAAGCTATTATTACAGTGAAAATGGAGAGAATTATGCCAAGAACAGAATGTTTTTCCTAGAACCAAAGTTTGTTGTTTGCTTTACTGTGGGTGGGTTTAGGTAGGGTTGCTGGAACACTTAAATATTTTATAGGTAGAGGGGAAGGAACTCACGGAAAGAGAAATATGAACTATTGATGAAGCTATAGGAGAGAATGGTTGCGTGTATCTCAGTCATGGAGAATTTGGCTGACATGCCCATGGCCCTAGGTTCAGTCCCTCGCACTAAAAAGAAAAGTTACAGTCACAGTGCTTGGGCGCTGGACCCAAAGGGATCAGGAATACAAAGTCAGCCCCAACTACATAGCGAGTTGAGACCAGCCTGAAGTACATGGAACTCTTTGTCAAAATCCACTAAAACAACCTACGATAGGAATTAATAACAGATGCCAACCTGCCTTAAAGGAGATGGAAGGAGGTGGTCCAGTAAGCAGCACAAGGAAAGCCTAGGCAGTGTCCTCCAAAGGGTGGGAGCCCTGGCCCCTCTCATACTAATTGTAAAGCCATGAAGCTAGAACAGAGAAACAGGGAGTCTTGAGATGAAAAACTCACAGTGTCTACGAGTTTTATGTTTCTAAAATGGGTGGTGTAGTTGCAGCCCGTGGCCAAGGTAAACCTTACAGACAATATTCTATCAGCTTTCTCAAACAGTAGTGCCTTGATTTTTTTTTCATGAACTCTAATGAAGCATCCATGCGTACACATTTTACACTTGTCCCCATATGACATTACCTTGATAGTTACATTTTCTTTAGAGAGATCCAGTTTACCTAAAAAGATGGTTACACATAATTGATTAGATGGTTGATATTAATGATAAATTGGTTAACGTAATTATCTGTAGTAATGATATACTAAAGGAAATATAAGGAAATCAAAACTGCCATCTGAAAGAAATCATCACCATCATTTATGTTTATGAGATGCCCTCGGCATGCAGGACAGGCTTTAGGGATTCTAATCTCATTTGATTTAATATACTGATCAAAGCCACAAAGAGGGAATTATGACTTGAGTTGCAGGGTATCAGGTAGGAACATGATTCTGAGGCCTTTCCTGAGAGTCACGTCTCTGCTGTCCATTCCCCTGACTTCACCTGCTTTAGTGAGTTTGCCCCGCAGTTTATTAAATCACCACTTCGCACTGAGAAGGAAAGTGCCTCCAGTAGCAGCTGGAATCCACATCAGCCGCTTCTAAAGGCTTCAGCTCACTTGAAGCAGCAGCGACTAATGTGTTTACAGTATGGTGGATTTGTTAGGAGCACATCTTCCCCTTACTGCCTTAATCCCAGCTCTCCCTTGTCTAGCCTAGTACTGGGATTAATATTGCATTTATTGCAGTCTTAGCATCTTCGTGGTCTATGCAGAGCTAAATCCCAGTGTCTCTTCCTTCAGCCTCCAAGTAAATGTTGAGTTTGATTTAAAGTTGGAAATGTATTTCCCAAAACACCAAGTGGAAAAGGAGGAAAGTTTGCTATTGGGGTGGATTTTCTTCAACTTTGTGAACTACTGATTCTTTCCTATAGTATATAAATAAGTAAAAGCATTAGACTTTCAAATTCCTCTGGATTTTTTTCCTTTTAAACTCATGAATCTTCTGATCAGGCTGACCTGGAACTCATAGAAGTCTTCTAGCTTCTGTCTCCCATGTGCTGGGATTAAAGGCATGTGCCACCATGCCTAGTTTAAGTGAAGTTTTTATTTAATTATCCAGTGTACCAAATTCCACAGCTGTCATTGGGTCAGTACTAGCCTGGAGTAAGAACAGATGTGACATGTGAGGTAAACCAGCCCTCTCTCCCCAGTCAAAACAGGGATGTCCATTCTAGACAACCTATCTTAAATTGTGCTTAGCTGCCTCAAAGCCTGAAGGTTTCTTCATCATCCTCCTGCCTCAATCCTAATTTTTCAAGCTTCCGATAAGATACAAGACAAATCACATTGCCTACCACAGAGACACTGGTGTTTTGCAAATCCTCCGAGTGGGAGGAACTCTTTGCTTTAGAGAGTAGGCCTAGGCAGGGCCTCCTTATAGAAGGCCCTGAGATCAAGAAGTATCCTGCTAAGTTTTAAATTCGAGATCTGATATGAGCAAGAGGATATCATTCTGGTATTTCCAGTAAGATAGTCAGTGGCCAACATGCTCCATTTAGTGAACATAGAAGACAACATTCAAACTCGACAGCATGTCACCGACTAATGTGAGCTGGTCTATTATTTAGCTGAACTTATGGGTAGTCTCATATCAGGCATGCATAATACCCAGTGCACAAGAAGCCTTGCCACTGAAGGTGGCAGAAGTTGGCAGTGGTGTGTTTGTCCAGCATTTATTCTGTCCTGACCACAGTCATGAATTTCACACGCAGCCTTGTCTAATGGCCAGCCACTAGTGCTTTTTGCCTTTTCTTTCCACAGTAAGTTTTGAATGTCACTTACAATGAAATGTTGTCCCCTCATAGGTGCTCGAGATTTTTGTCTTTTGTCATAGTGAGCCTGTGAACCTTTCATTCACTCCCCTAGCATAACGTGTTGTCTATTGCTAACTGAATCTTAGTGAGCATCAAATGGCAGCTACCAGCTCAGCTCAAACACTTTTCTTTTTGAAAGTTTTGAAAACAACCTAAGGGAAACCCACCTCCCTGTGTCTAGATTATCCATTTCCTCTTCTCTTTCTTTTCTTTTTTGAAGGAGAATTCAATATGAACTATGACCAGCTTTCTCTCTGTTCACTGTAGCCACACTCTCCTCCAGGAAGTCATAGCTTCTGTTTGGAAAGAATGGTCATTTTCTTCTAAAGCGTGGCTCTTGAGCTTTTACATCCTTCATGTTTTAGGGATTTTTGACATATGAGGATTATGTTCACTCCAATACCATGCACTGTTTTATAATTTTTTTCTTTCAGTTCCAACGGATGAACAACTTTCCCATAAAACAGACCCTGAGAGCTCTCATAGCGAAACTGGTAAAAAAAAAAATCAGGTTTTCCTACTTAGAAAGTATATTTATATTTTCAAAATCCTAATAGATAGATAGATATGCTGTGATATATAGAAAGAAATACATGTTTTCTTAGAGGTAGTTCAATTATATAATCCTGTTAAAAGTTTTTCCTGGTTAAATAGAGAAAAACTTACATAATAGCTTTATTTGCTTTGGAAATGTTTTACTAAAGAGATTATGCTGAAACTATACAGTTTACTTAATAGCTGAGATAACCTTATGGGTTTATGGGTTTTAGGCAAAAAAAAAATAAGTTGCCTGCTCATTCATGTTTTCCTCAAAATGAGGATTGGTGAATAAAATAAAGATTTATTTAGCTAATTTCCTTGAGTAGAATCTAGTAGAGCTTTCTTATATTTATTATTGTTCTTAAAGGATATTCAAGTTTATAAATAACTGTATCTAGAAGGGAAATAATTTGACTTTGTTATAGTAATTTTCATAACGTTTCTTCGCTTTACTTTTGGCATAGTCCTGCCCCCTGTCACCGTTAGAGCTGGGCCACCGAAGCCAACAATAGGTAATGCTACTCTCATATTAACCAACCAGCTTGCTTGCTTGCTTTGTTCCCGCCAAGATCACAGGCTTTTCTCGAGTGGTCCAAGAGCCTCCTCTTCTCAGTTCACTTCGTAATGTCATTCTCGCTGCGACCACTGTTTCAAGTAAAAACGAGCATGGTTTCAGTGTTGAAAGGTTTTTCTCAGGAGAAGCCCAGGAAGGCTCATTCCAAAGCCGTCCTTATCTACCTCGTTTATCTCCATCACCCCACTTTCCCTGTTTCCTGTCCAGTTCATATCCCTGCTAGTTTAATGGTTCTTGGTTGCACTGCTGCAACACACTAGCATAAGTCAGCGCTTAGAAGGCGATGCAAGAAAGTAATAATTTGGTCAAAATAGGAAACTGTCATCGATTTGCTTGTCTAACTAAACCAAAACAGATTCAAAATGCTCATCCCCACAGTTTTGTAATCCTCTCTGCTTTGGGGTGATAGAGAGGCAGCTATAATCTGAAGAAGACCAGGAAGGTGTCCTAACCACACTCCATCTTAACCAGGTCTCCTATGCAGTGGGCCAAACAGAATATCCTTTATTGTGCCTTCTGGTAGGAAAGGGTTAAGAACCATTATACTGACATTCCATTACTTTCTCCTGAGAGTCCTGTACACACCAACTTTCTATTTCCTCACTCGTGAGATCTTTTCCCTCTTATATTTCAAATGAAGGTGTCCATACCATTCTAGTTTATTGCTGACTTTGATTAAAAGTTTACCAACTTAGTACTTTTCTTTCGTAGCACCCTTAGAGACACGGGACATTACTTCCACACCTGTAATTTCACCACGACCCAGTCAAGAGGAGCTACAAACCACCTGGGGTAACATTATTTTTCTCCACAAGGGACTTATTGCTTGAAGAGTGCCCCTAGAGTTTCATGCTCATTTTATTTAACTTTCCCATTGCATGGCTTTATGTACGAATATCTACAAGCATCTTAGTAGTCAAGTTCCAAGTATAGTCAGCTCTCCTGAATCAAAACCTTTTGAAAAATTGTATTGAAAGTGATAAGGTGTTTTTCTTGCCATTGTCCCTCAAATGGCATCACAAAGCAACTATTTTCGTGGCATTTTCTTCTGTTTATATTACAAGTGATCTAGAGATAATTTTATAATAGGGTATCCGCAGAGCTTATAGGCTGCCCGCTGAAGACGGTGGATCAGACAAGAAAGCGGTTTGTATGCTCTGGACCTGCTTTTGAGGATTTCAACATAAATATACCCACAGTTGTGGAGACACATTTGTGGAGTCGTGACTGAAAATGACACACAACTTCTCCAGATCATGCTGGTTGGCTCCTCAGTCCTCCCCTTCTTGTGCCCTGCAGACTCCTTTCATTCAATCGTCTTCTTCTTGTCCTTGCTTTATCCCTTTTAAAGTAAATACATCACTCTGTGTCTGTGTGTTTAGTGTGTGTGTGTGTACGAGAGAGCGAGAGAGAGCGAGAGCGAGAGAGAGAGAGAGAGAGAGAGAGAGAGCGAGAGAGAGTGAGAGAGAGTTGAAGCAGCTGAATATATTTTAAATGAAGCCCATCTGAAAGAAGAAAACTTAAATGGAATGAGCAAAGAGACCTGACAATTACCACTGAATACACATCATCTCATTTCCACTTCCCTTTAAAATATGCTTTTTGATTTACTCAAGAAAGAGCCACTACCTGCCAACTATCACAAATCTCTTTCCCAAAAATTGAATCAGCAGAATAAACTGGGACAGAAAGAAAAAAGAGGGTATTATGACTGCCATCAGCTATTTCCTTGATTTTTAAGGTGGCAGAGTAAACAATATAATATGCTTTTTCATTATGGTGTAATGTTCAGGATAATATGAGGATATTTTACCAAGACAAACTTGTTTAAATGTCAGTAAACATAATTTTCATTTTGACATATAGAAAATAAAAGGATAGTTCTTCTATGATTGAAATAAACATCTTTTCACGTGACCTCTTTATTTTCTGTATATAACTTGTGGAATGGGAAAGAGACAAAAAGACAGATACATTGACATTTAAGGTATTTTCAAACTTTGGCTGCACCCAAGGATAGCAGCCTCATTAAACAGCTATCTTGGGCCTTTAGCTCAGTGGTAAGGCACTTGCCTAGCATATATGATGCCCTGGGTTCAATCCCTAGTGTAGGAAACCACATCAAAGCAAAATGATCCTGCTTCAAAGCTGCTTCGTCAGTCCTATAATAATCACTAAAATAACAGGGCAACAAAGATAACAAGTCATCCACATATGCTTTCCCTTGAAGTTACTACAAAAGCGGTAGCAAATAGCTTGAGGTGTTAGTTATTTTCTGCTTTGCTCTTTGTTGTGTTCATGGTGATGGTTAAAAGCAAGGCATCCTACTCTGTTTTTCCCTAGAAGAAACAGATCATTCTACCCAGGCGATCTTCACAACTAAGATTCCACGGACGACTGAATTGGCAAAGACAACTCAGGGTAATGCTGTTTCTCCAGCCTTGGAGAGAAATTTTTCCTTATCTTCCTTTAACCAAGAAAGAAATTTCGCTTTCAGATGGGGTTTCCTCACCACAGTGAACTACTTGACTGTTTTTATATTAAAGATGAAGGACCTCAGGCAAGCTGAATTCCATTGGTATATTCAGCTTCTTTGGTTGGTGCCTCGAATGTCTTGTTGGCTGTAGGATGCTAATAACTAATCTCAAAAGTCTCTAGGTTTCTCCGCCTGCTGAACCTTCATGAACCTGACTTTCATATCTGATAAATAAGAAAGACCTCCATCTTCCTACTTTCCTTTCCTCTCCCCTCTTCTTCCTTTTTCTCCTCTCCTCTCCAAAACTGGAATAAAACCCATTGATATTATGAGCTGAGAAAAGCTTTTAATGAGAAAAGTCATTTTTTAAGTATTGAGAGTAGTTAGACATTTAGCAACGTGTTGCCTGTGAAGCCCTGTCTCTGGGGAGAAGAACTCACCGGCATGCGTAGTCTTCATGTTCTCAAAAGTCTTTTCCATTACAGCTTCTAACCTCACTGGGTTATAATTTTTGCTGGTTTCTAATGCTGTAGTGTTTTCATTGCTGCTGTTTGGATGATCCTTTTTACTCATTTGTACTGAATGGTAGAAAGCCAAAGCAAATAAAACAAAAGCAAACTTTAGAAGGAATTGGAAGACCGATCTCTCTGTTCTGTCCATTAGCAATTCTAATTTGAGGGAGCACATGGATGGACAAAGTGGTAAATCAACAAGAGCCTAGTACGGTGACTCATGATTGTAATCCCAACCTTTGAGAGTCAGGACAGGAGGATCGTGAGTTCCAGGACAGCCTGGGAAAAATTTTAAAAAGACAAAATACAATGAAAGGAAAGAAGGAAGATAAGGAAGGAGGGAGGGAGGAAAAGAGGAAAGAAAGAAGGATAGAATGGTAATAAGGAACAGCAGGAAAAATGATAGCAATAGCATCAGTGTAGCTTTAGGCAGGCCCTTTGTCATCAGCATGAGGGACTGAGTAAGCATGAGGCGAGTATGATACAATGCTTAGTCTCTAGCTCTAAGCTTTGCTTATTTGTAAGTTTTTTTTTTAATTTTAAAATTTCCAATTCAAAGTTTATATAATTTGTATTTATTAGCTTCTTATTAGTGTTCAAATATGCAGGGAAATAAGAAGCACCAAGGCAGCCTTCTCCTGACCTGTCTGCCAGCTTTCCTCATTGATGACACTCCATCAGTTATGGTGACCACAAGCTCCCTGGATTTTATATTTTATTTTTTCTCTGTTTGCAATTGTCTTGAATGACAGCATCATCTTCATGCTCAAACAAAGCAGCTCTTCAACAAAGTATATAACTATTTATAATAAGGAGGACAGATATGGATGTTTTTCAACTCTGCTTTTGTATCTCTAAGTAAGAAAAAAATTCTACTTTTGGAGACTTCCTAGATTCTTGTCAATGATAAAAAAAAATGATGGATCTGATAGGTTTTCTTTTTTATGGGAATGCCAACATTGGGTTAAAGATTTTTTTAATTCCTACTAAAACAATTTTACTAGATAGGAATTTGATAGTTATATGGAGTCACATATAACTTTAATCTGAATTGTCTTAGTACAATTGTATAATGTACTATAATTTTTTTTTCTCGTGTCCAGAGAATTCTTAGTTTGAGGATCTTCTCTGCCATCCTAGGACTTATGTTTTCCTGATTTTGTACCAAATCTTTTCTTTAGGCTCAGCAGGCATGAGATGTTGAATAATAATTAGGAAGGAGCCCTTCTTCAGGAGAAGATGGGCACCCACAAACCCACACCTTTCAATAATCATGACTAAAAGCAGAGTAGGGGGTGCAGCTCAGATGAAGACAGCTGTGTGTTCCAGGGCCTTCCTCAAAAGCTGTCTTGAGCTCTGAGGCCCTTCGTGTCATCTGGGACCCTGGCTTTCATGCCAATCCTCATCCGGCACAGGCCAACTGAGAGACTGGAGGAAGAGAAAAAATCATTCCTCCCGCTCTTGTGCTCGAACTGTATGTGGACCACTGATGCGGGAGACTATGGGATCTCAACCACTCGGCAGTGGTACCCCTAGAACCACAGCAGAATGCCACTGCTAGATTCTCCACTCTACTAGATTCTCCCCCTTACTTTCTGTGTGGCAGCCTTGCCCCCACATCTACTGAGACAGTTCCCACACAAAGCACTGTAACTTATCTTCAATTCTCTCTGTGTTCTATTTTTGTTTCTACAAGTATTTATTTTGGATGAACATGGGCGCGATGAGCCGGCATTTGTGGCTGTGCCGTGGCATGTGTATGGCGGTCAGAGGACAACTTAGTGGAGTTAGTCATCTCCTCCCACCACACGGATTCTGGGGGTCAAACTGAGCTTGTCAGGCTTGGCAGCAAGCATTTTTACCCACCACATCATCTCTAAGTGCCCAGTGTTTTACTTTCAGTACATTGTAGCAGTGTACCTACCCAAAGGCACATTAGGGATCCTGATTGCTTGACTTTATCAGCTCTTGCTTGGTTCTCCATGTGGAACTCGGCAGAGCATAGTGCTTCGATTATCACTGTGTATTTATTTCAGATGTTGTTTTTATATACTTCATTTTTAATATTTTTGGAAGTCTTTTTTAATAGACATGAAGCATCTTTACAGTTTTGCAGTACTGGTCACCCAAAAACACGTGGCAGCAATGTTTTTGTGGTTACGTAGTCACAAACTCCTTTGTCTTTCTTTTTAGGTTTAAAGTTAGAGCAGGTTTCTCGTGGCCTCATGCTATTGGATGATGAGCTGTCCGAATACCTCACGACCTAAAGTTATATTTTAGTCCAGCTCTTTAAATTCTTCCTAGTAAACCTGGAACACATGGTTTTATGCCCCAGTGTTCAGGTAATGATGGCCCTGCTGCTGGGCGGCTCTGTGCCCTACTCTGATCCGCTTTTCTGCACGAAGTTTGAAAATCCCTGTATTTTCTATGATGAAGAAAGTAAGAACCATGGTCCCATTAGTTCTCTTCAGCAGAAATGTTCAGAGGGATCCACACTAAGAGCAGAAATGGGCTAAAATGACTGCACTCCTGCGGTTCTCAAAGAAAGGCAAAGGGAACCATTTACAAATCCGCCTGAGACATGTTTAGCTCTGTGAACACTAATGCTTTATGACAGCGGCTCTTCTGCTCACAACGGTTAGTACCCTGGGGACGGCCCCAGTCAGGCCCCTGAGGATTCCAATCTGCCTGTGTTGTTGGCCTGCTGTGTGGCAAAATCCTGGTCATCAAAACCCTCACATTGGAAGTGTCTAAGAGAGAGCTACATCATAAGCTGTTTCACAGGTGTTATTTTTTATGCCTGCCAGGCAAGACATTGCTGATTTATGGTTAATAAATATCCACTCAAGATGTGGGCAAAACTATTAAGTGAGGTAACACTTGTATAGTTTACAAGAAAAAAAAATTCTGGCTGTAGATGAAGCATTACCAAGAGACTTGTGGTGGGGATCCGCATGCAGTATGCGGTGTGCACAGAGCAGCAGGCTGTAGACTCCAGGAGGAGCACATACTTCAATACCTTAGAAGCAAAAATAGAACTGTATCGTTTCCTAAATTTGCCTGCAATGGCATCGACTCAGCGAGGCCTCATTACTTCTCCTTCGTGGGCAGGCCCCACATAACAGGAGGTAGCATGCTAGTTCTAACGTTCCTTGCTCACTTTTCTTTGACAGGTTGGACATCGGGTATCATTTTCTTTCACTCCTCTGTATAACAATCATAGACACCGAAGATTTAGTGATTTCAGAGTTCACAAGCAAAGACAATTTGATAGCGGCCACATGTTACTGTTATTTTTCTTAGCAATCTAATTTTTCCTTTATCCTTTTTTAATTTTTAAGATTGCTTTCTTTGGAAAACTAATGCTCCAGTACAGTAGTTTCTGATTGAGAAGGGTGGGTGGCTGGATAGATGGATGCCTGGACAGATGGATGGCTGTGGAGATGGATGACTGGGTAGATGGAAGGGTGGACAGATAGCTGGCTGGGTAGATGGGAGGGTGAATGGCTGGATGGCTGGGTAGGTCGATGGCTGGGTAGATGAATGGCTAGGTTATATATTTATCATGTTAAGCAACTATCTGATAAAATTAATACCTTTGGAAAGCATGGACTAAATTAGACTGATTCTTAATATTACAATTGATCTACCTCATTCTCTATGTACCTTCGCTTTTCAGCCATGAGTATTTTCATGTTTTGTGTCCTTTTGCGTGGAGTAGGTAATGAATAACTTGGTGATTTCAGCAGAATGTTCTTTCTACCTCTGTGTGAAGTCTGCTGGTTATTGGTCCCTAGGGTAACAAAGATCAGTGGGCTCGTCTTTGGAGACTATCTGTTGAGTATAAAGTATATCTTCCATTTCAGCACCACACAGATTGCACACGACTCCTGTGAGGCCCAGAATACCTGACAGACCACATGCCAGGCCAGGTAAGAAGAGAGCTTTGCTTTCTCTATGACCTACACAGTCAGCAGGCTGGAGGAGCTCCAGAGAAGAGCCAAAACAGCCAGACTTCCCAAAGATGGAAATATATCAGAAGAGGAGGGATTCAGGACAAAGTACCTTTCAGTTGAAGTCAAGGGAACACAGAAACTCTAATCTTTGTAGATAATTGAAGGGGTTAATTCATTGAAGAGATTAAACTTGAAGGTTTTCATGGATGTTTAGATTCAGAGGCCTCTGTGAAACGTAACAAATATGAAAATATTTTAATGATGCTTATTCATATGCTTCATACACCTTAAATTTTTCATGACCATTTTCAAATGTTTTTTTTTCTTGCCTCAGGAAATAAATGGTCTCATTCTAGTAAAAGAGTACTTTAGTTTCAAAGAGAATGTTTTCCTTGATACCTTCTGTCATCAAAAGAAGCATTTGTCATCACAAAAGAATAAAAGACATGGTTTATTCTGGAGCCAAAATTATGAGTGACCATGACCTGGGACTATACATTCTGGTCTTCCCAAACCATGTTCCAATGAGGAAGAGGTTTCATGAACTTTTATAGTATCAGAACAAAGAAAGCTATAGAAGAGGACATTTTAAAGACAAATTGGTAAAAACATTTGAGAGGCAGAATACAGGAAGATGGGGAATCTCTCTTACAAGCCTCAGATGGTACCCGATAACAACATTCTTAGCTTTGGATTTGGTGGAAGCTGGCAGACAACTTAGCTAATACAGTCCTAAGGGTTTATCTGTTAGTTACAGGATGCCCACAAGGTGGACAAGGAATGGCTATTGGGGGGGCATTAGTAGCCCCAGTGAATTATAGTTAAGCTCTGCACCTGCAACATTCCAATCTCTCCAAATCAATGCAGTTCTAATCAAGCAGCCATTGCTGACACAGGTTCCTTCAAGAAATTCTGACTCACACTTCAAAGGATAAAGCTATTTATAAACAACAAAAAGCATAGGTCTGTATTGAGAGACACCTCATACTTATCAAGTCAGTGAAGGGTCATAACTCTACCCTTCTTAGGATTTAAGGAATGACTAATACTCAATGTAAGTGATTCTTATGCTGAGGTACAGCATCTTAGCACCAGCTAAAGCCTTTCTGGTGTTTTCCTGTTCCTTTCTGTTTTCTGTGGTTCTAAGGACTCTTAAGGTGCTAAAGAAAAAAGTCATTCAGAAAGGAAAGGTCTCTGTGAATGTATCTCTAAGTAGGTGAGAGAAATGAGGCAATGTTTTTATATTCTTTGAATATTATACACATAATATCCAATTATATATAATATACACAATATGTGTATGTGTGCATATATACTATATAAATATATGTGCATATATAATATGTAAATGTGTATATGATATATATTAGATATATACACATGCGGAGAATTGAGTGAAGTCATCTAAGGGTTCAGGAATGCTTGCTTTTTTTTTTGACACTAACTTAAAGAATAAAAAGGCAGGAAAGCAAGGCCTCATCACTCAGCCAGATCTTGTTGACAGCAGAAACACAAAGACAACCAAGTACACAGGGGCAGAGTCCCCAGGTGGGAAAGGAACCCAGAGCTAGAATATGAGGAGGGGGTTGTGTGCGATTGGAATGGGTTCCTTTTTTTCTTGGGAACTGGTTAGTTTGTGCTATTCCAGGGTGTTGGATAATCTAGACAAAGAAAGGAAAGTAAGGTGTGTCTCTCTTCATTAGTACACCCCAGCAGTCCCTTAGTGTGTGTGGGCGGGGGCGGATTAAACTCACACTAACTGTTTCTCTCGGGGAGGGAGAACAGGAAGTTCTTGAGAATGTTCATGAGAAAAGCATATTAATCTACCTAGAGCTTTTGTTCTCTGCCTGTCTGCTGGGGATCTGCTTGACTCCTAGTTCTTCGTAGAGAAACATTTTTGGCTATAATCTCTAACTCCTAGGGTGATTAAGTAGAAAATTCTATATAAAAAATAAGAATAAGGGATTTTCATGTGTCTTTGTGCTACAAACATCGAAGAGTGCTTAATACGTGACTGATTAAACATTTCTGTAAAATAAATAGTAATGGTTGACAAGATCTGAGTGCTTACGATGTGACCTGTGAGTTATGTTTGCGGAAACTGAGGTGCTGAGGGGAACCAGAAGAGAATGAAAAGACAGGCAATCTGGAAAGAGGTTGGCATAGCAGTATCATGGCTCAGTGTTCTACAGAGGATGTATGCAAGGACGGTTGTAACTAGACAGTACCTAGAGACTTCTACAAAGAGACCACCAGTTCGTGAGTTATGAATGGTGGCCTTGATGTTAAATACATTTCAGGTCTCAATCTTTCACTAGACGTAATGAAATCCTGATCTTTCTTCAGTTCTATTTTGGACTGTGTCTGCTGTCACATACAGGAAGCAAGGGAAAATATCTCCCACTCAGAATTAGAAATTCCCTTGCTACTTACTCTTTTCAAGAACAAATATCAGAGCTCAGTGAGCACCTCAGTACAGACTCAGATTTTCATCCTCGCCTATGAAAGTTTAGGACTTTCATAAGAGAACATGGTTTCTATATTCTGGACCATATTTGTGTGTGTGTATGTGTGTGTGAGTTATCCTTACTTTATTGCCTAGTTAAATGATTTTCAGTTTTCTGAGCAGTTTTGTTTTCTTTGACTGCAGACATTTAGTAAGGAAATGTCTAATGTGTTTAATCCTTACTTTATTATAGTTCTGAACAAAACAACCACAAAGCCTGGTAAAACCAAACCCAAAGTGATACCCCGTGGAAACGGAGTGGGAACAGGTAATAATCACAGATGTGTTTCTCTTTTGTTGCATCAAAACTAAATGCTGTCAGTGGTAGTTAGAAAGAGAATAGCCCTCCAAAGGAGTGGCACTATTAGGAGGTGTAGCCTTGTTGGAGTAGGTGTGGTCTTGTTGGAGGAAGTGTGGAGGCAGGCTTTGAAGACATATATATGCTCAAGCCATGCCCTGTGAGACAGAGCCCTTCCTCTTGCTTATGGGATCAAGATGCAAGAACTCTCAGCTCCTTCTCCAGCATTATGTCTGCCTCCATGCTGCCTTGCTTCCCACCATGATGACAATGGGCTAAACCTCAGAACTGTAAGCCACCATAATTAAATGTTTTCCTTTATAAGAGTTGTCATAGTTATGGTGTCTTTTCACAGCAATACAAACCCTAACTAACACTGTCCATCTCACATAATTTTGTTGAATTCATACATCAATTTCTTTTGTATAAGTTTTGGAAAATATTCGTAAAATTAAAATTTAAAGTTTTAACTCATTTCAAAATCAATTTCAAATATCCCTAAAAATGCTGAAAAAGAAGTTTCCAACTTTTCTAAACCTAGTCTATTAAGTTAGCTACCATATATATATATAGTCTTATTTCTCAAAAATAACTCCAATTAGATATTAGTTACAGAATGAAAATAGAAAAAAAAATCATTGTTTTCAAACCACTTCCAATACACAGATCAGTCTGTGAAGTGACTTGGTGTCCCTCCTATACTCTCCCATGGGGCCAACACAGCTTTCTGAAAGGCCTTTATCTGCTAGCAGCCTGCAGTATGGAATTTAAGAAGAAGTAGACTTAATTCAAAACAATAACAACTGGTGACTGTGGCTGTAGTCCTTCTGCAGCTTATAAACCGTTCTGATCAAATGGTACAGCCCTAACTTTTTAGAGCTGTGTGGATAGATCTAACAAAAGTTTAAATAGCCAACTTATTTATTCCATAGGTAAATGGAATTGCATTGTTCCCTTGAGATGTTTTTAATAATAAAAATCATGTACAAATGCATGAAAATTAGAATGAATTTAGTGCAAATATGTTACATTTAATCAGCTCCTGGTAAGAAAGAGATATAATGCTTGAGGTTAGTCTAAAAGCCATTTAGATTTATTTAGAATGTTTCCCCGTATTTACTTGAATATTGTGGTATCTGAAATTCTGGGTTTTTTTCTTTTTTGGTCTGTTATTTTCAGACCAAATGAAAGAGGCCAGTCTGTGGATTTCTGAGACACCCAGTTACTTATTTGTGCTGAGCAATTTCATTCATTCTTCCTACCTGAAGTTTTGGCAGGGCAGAATTTCTCAGATTGGCATAGACTGGCTCTAACAAGAGCTATCCTTTCTCAGATCCTCTTGGGAGGAATTTAAGTATACATATTTAATATTCAAGTGATTCCTTGGAGGTTACATAAGCAAAAATAGAAATTAGCTATAGGCAGAGAAAATAAGCAACGACAAAAAATAAAAGTTGCTATGGTCCTTATTGGAGCACTCTTGACTGCCAGTATAATCAAACATGATTCTTTCTAGGACAATGGGAATCAACAAATGAAGACAATAGCATTGTTATACCTTAACTTAGCAACAGTATGAATTTTTTTCAAGACCCATATTTGAATCAATTATCTGTCATTATCAGCTTGCATCCATAGACAAGTGCTTCTGTAATGTAACTCCTGGGAGAAAGTGGCCACTGAACTCTGGCAGAACAAATGGGTTGCCTTCACCCCATTCCTTGTTTCTCTCATAGCGTCCAAACAAAATTTATATGCTGTTCTGTGTTGTCAGTCTATTGAGGCCTTTTGTGGAGGATCATCGTATTGTTTATTTCTCAGGTGGAGAGGCTAGCAGAGAGCATCCAGCCATCCTCACCTTTGGGGTCAGTCTTAGCTGAATGCTGTCTTAAATAGTTCTGATTTTTTAACAATGCTGTAGATTCTTGCTTTGTATTGTATGAGTTGTTTTTTCTCTATTTTAATGTTAGAATAGCCTACAGAGGCTGGGAATTTTTTTGTATTACATTTATTTATTTGTGTGCATGTGGGTTGGCATTGTGGGCCTTTATCCATTAAGCCTTCTTGCTAACCCAAGGCTCATAGCTTGGATGGGTCATTTTTCCGCTATTCTGCTTTTTTTGTGGTTCCACACATAGACATCACAGTTTAGTTAAGGTGTCCTACACATTAGAAATTTCTAAACTGAGAAGTTGTGAGAAACGGTGGAGTTTACTGCCTGACTCTAGAGAAGAAACTTGTCGGTTCCAGTCTAGGGAGTCTGACTTCTCTTGGAAGATGACAGCTGCTGGGCCGGTTTGTCATCCGACCATCACTTCTGAAGGCTCCTTGCATACCAGGAAGAGTATAATTGTGATGCTTCTCGGAGCATGTGAGCTGGCAGACTCTGTCACATAGCTGAGAATCAGGCTCTTCTCTCTCTATCCTAATGGGGAAACCACATGTTCCTGCCCCCACATGGAGAATGCCTCACCAGGAGAACTCAGACTCCTCAGGGTGAGGTATGTGTTTTTCTAGACTGTGGCTAAATCTTTCAGGCGAGGGGCTCAGGATTTAGCTAGGAGCTAAAATTTGAAGCACAGAGAACAATGCTACATAAATACCACCCCTTTTCGTCACAGGAAGTAGTCTCTAACTCACTGAGTATTGATTTCCACTGATACAGTTGGAAATCAACAAGTTTGTTTGCAAAGCTTTTGTTACTATGGTTAGAAATATCCGAAATCATTATTTCATCTTGGACAAGAGCTCACTAAGTGATGAATTACGTAAATCCGCAGCCTTCTGGACAACTCCCATATGGCAGTGGTGGGCCATCCTGAGGTTCCAGTCTGGGTGCCTTCAGAGCCAACTGGCCTTTAAGCATTTGTGTCAATTAATCCTGTTTGGGAGAAAAGAATTCAGCTTGCAGCCTGGGCTAGATTGCCTGATGGGTACTCTCCGTACGATCCGTTCTCTACAGTGTTCCTCATAATGGTTTCCTTTTTAACTTTTCTCCTCATTCTGTGCTGCCTTCAGTGTTAAATTGCCCTCTTCTGATTCAGGACAGCACTAGTTCACTTGTTTAGCAGAGTCTGGAGCTTCATTGCCTGCCTCCAACTCTTTCCACTGAGACCCAAAGTTACTGTTTACAGGGCCTTTTCCAGCGCTTCCAGATACTACTATGGTCTATCTGTTTTCAAGGGCTGATGTGCTGTTGATTTGTGACTTATATCTAGAGAACATAACGACATGCTGCCTCTGTCTCCATCTGTATAGAAAGCAATTGGAAGATTTTTAGTTTCTTCTAATTTATTTTTCCTCTCTTTCCTTTTCTCACCTTCCCCCTTGCTGACCCGTGTCCCTCCCTCCCTCTTCTCCTTAATCTCCAACTCACTTCAGCCTTCAGGCGCTTGCCTGTACTCATCCTGGGCTCCGTGGATCTGCCTTTGCCCTATAGGAACTGCTGAAAACATGCGACTATTTTCTGTGAACGTCACATGATGACATGGCTATAGGACAGATGCTTGCCTGCCAAGGTCAATAACTCTCATCTAGGGAGGCACTCCAGCCATTTCGGGAGGTGAAGAGTATAGGACTATAGTCACTTAGCATCATGTGAGGAGTACTAGGAAGAAGGAGTCAAAAGGAGGATCTGGTGGTTTGAGAAAGAGGCTTTGGTGTGGAGAGCATGTGAGTCTGAGTCCCAGCATTTCTTAGCTGTGAGACTTGAAGCAGTTTGTTTACTCCAGCTTTAGACGTCCTCATTTGTGGGTCCTAGATGCTATATCCCACATAGACTTTGTAAAGCTCAAATCAAGTATTAAATATACAGAGTGCCTAGACGGTATTAGAAATGAAATCATTGTATTTGAAGGACAAAGATTTTTGGAGAAGAACTAATAAAAATCAACTCAAAGAACACCCAGCCTATTGGCATTCTAGGGTATATGTGGTGTGGTGTCTGCGTGTGTGTGTGTGTATGTGTGGGATGTGTGTATGATGTGGTATGTGTGGTATGTGTGCATATGATGTATGTATGATGTATATGTGGTTGTGTGTGATGTATGGGGTATGTGTGTGTATGTATGTGTGTGTATGTGGTGTGTGTGTGATATGTGTATGTGGTGTGAATATGATGTGTGTGTGTGTGTTACCTTTGAGAAATGATGGTAAATGAAAGTCAGTCACCAAATCAAGTCATCTTATTGGCACAGTGTAAATATTTTTCTATGCCTGAATATCATTTACAGAATAATCAATCACAGGGAAATCCATTTCCCTGGTTTTGGGGAACCAAGAATGACAGGGCACAGGGACAGCTCTTTTTAGAAAGAATTTCCAAAGTCTTCCACATTTCTCCAAAAATCAACAGGGTTGGGTTCTTTACAGCAACAACTTCTGTATTAGTTGCTTTTAGTTTCTGTGCTAAAGCATCATGACCAAAAGCAAATTAAGAAAATGTTTATTTGTACTTATAGTTCTAGAGGGATGAATCTCCATAAAGGATGGAGCCACAGATACAGGATCAGGAAGATGAGAGATTACATCTTAACCACACACAGGAAACACAGACCATAGGAAGTATGGCAAGGCTATAAACTCTCAAAGCTCACCCTCCCCAAGTGATGCCCTTTTTTCCATCAAAGTTCTACTACTTAAAGATTCCATAACCTCCCCAACAGCACAACCAATAGGGGACCAAGGGTTCGAACACATGAACCAATGGGGCAACATTCTCATTCAAACTACAACAAGCGAAATTTTTATATTTGGTCAGTATATCTGCCTGCACACTTAAATGTGTTTAATATCATTTTACTTTTTCTGGGACATAACTATAAAACCAGAGTTGTTGGCATTTAGTTACTGTGATTTTCATGTTGTCATGTTAATGTATGAAGTGGTTATTAAGTATGTTTTCTCATCTTTAATATGCAAACTACAGTTAGGCCATTAGCATATGGATTCTTCTTTAGGATAATCATTTTTGAAGTTATATTTCCTACTTAGAGTCTAAAAACTATTTCTGTTCTTTCTTAATAAATACTATCAGAACCAGACATGGTGACACAAGCCTTTAATGCCTGCACTCAGGAGCCTGGGGCAAGTGAATGTCTATGAGTTTGAGACCAACGTGGTGTACATAGTGAGTTCTAGGCCAGCTAAGGCTGCATGGTGAAATCCTGTCTCAAAGGAAAAAATTGTCAGACATGTTAGGGAAGATTATTTTGTAATATAGTCACAAAAGAGGGGAAAGACTGTAAGAGCCAGAGGAAATAGATGTTTGCCTTGAAGTTGTACCTCCTAGACCTAGCAGGGAAGCTGCACCCATGAAGTCTCATCAACACCACCACCTAAACAAGGCCTGAACAAGGGTGACATCAACAAATATGCCAACAAGGAAGGGGGAAATCTCAACAGGGCCACAACCCTAGACAAAGAACTACAAGCAACTAAAAAATGTTGAAAAGAGAGAAATAGTCTTCCTTGGGAAAAGGTTTCTCTCTAATTGATTCTCTAGTACCAGTCATCAGCCCTGCCTGAAATTAAATACACACAAGTAACATTAGATTGGGCCAGTGGTATCAGCATATTTAGGAATGTATCAATATATCCCTATATAAATATGTACACACATATATTTAGGAGTGTGTGTGTATTGTGTATGTGTGTATAACAACAATTAAATAAAGAAGAGACAGAGGCCATGAATTTGAAAGAGATCAAGGTAGGGGTAGCGTACATGGGAGGAATTGGAGGGAAGAAATTAAAAATAATATATGTTAATTTCAAACAATGAAACAAAATTGTATAAAGAAAGCAAGTATGATTAAAAATAATAATAATAATATTACAAAGCTACAGTGAGACATACTGATGACCTGCATCCTAGGGAAACTGTCCGAAACCTATCCCTGGTGCTTAGGCAAATGGCCAGATAACCTCCATATTTGAGGGAGACAGAAGAGAAAAATACCACACAAAGCAAAGTTGAATTGGTTCCTTACAAACAAGTTGGGGTTCTAGGCCATTCAGGACTATTTTATGAATGCCAAAGGTAAGATCCAGTTTGTAGCCTCAGCTGTCTCACAGGCAAGGCCGGCACAGAAGTATTTTTTAAGCCAGTTCAAGTATAAACCCAACCACATTGGATTCTGAGGTTTCTTTATGAGCATTGGTGAGTTGGGAAATTATCTTTTTAACCACAAAATGTACCCATGAAAACTGGCAGGAGGTGACAATTGAGTCCTGGTAAAAATCTGTCTGGTGAAGCAATACCTCCCAGGCAGCCAGTGCAGGATGAATGCCATGGAAAATTATGACAAAACCAGTGCCAGTTCTAGAGAGAAAAATACAACCCACGAATGTAGGATTTTTAGTATTTTTATGTCTGGGTAGAAGAAGACAATTAAAATGGGCACAAATGCACTGGTGTCTATATAAGAAGTGCACATTTCTCTGACAGCTCTGAGTGTCCATGACAAAGAACGTTGAGCAAATTTTTACTCTACAGTTATTCCTATTGATTGTATCTGCTCCTAGGAACCAAGCAAGCACCTAAGCCGTCAAGTACTGGGAGAAATATGTCCGTGGACTCACATGCCACGAAAAAACCAGGTAAGGAGTGATGTGGCCCCTCCGGCCCCTCAGCTCTGACGTTGGCCCAGCGATAACAATGGTGGATGATGAACAACACCTGCATGGCTCTGTGTGCGAGAATCAAATTAGCGGGAGATGCAAGCTGCTAGAGAAACATCCAGAAAGACCATCTTTGGGAAAAGAAAGCACAAATTCAGTTCTTTCAAACCCTTTGGGGGGTACTAATTTAGTGGTTGCTTCCTGTACTATCCTGAAGAGACACCATGGACAAGTGGTACAGAGCCACTGGGTTTCAGATTGTTTTTTCAAGTTTTTCTCTTACGTGATTTATTTATATTTTGGCTTGAAATGATGTTCGTTCCTATTTTAAGAGTACGTTATATGTAATAGCCATATGAATCTTATACTCCAGTCTCTGTTATTTAAAAGGGTTGCCACGAGAGCTGCTCTCACACATCAGTGTTTATATTGCTATCCTCACCAGAGCAAGCTCATGGGCAGGCTTCCTCCCCCTCTCCTATCTTTCTCTAGCTCTTTCTTCTTTGTCGCTCCTCCTGGTAGCCTTGAAAATACTTAAAGCAAAAAGTATTTTTCTGGGTAGAGAATTCTTCTTGGTTATTTTTAAATCAACATAAATACTACCAAGAAAGAAACACATTTTTTCAACTATAACGGGCTAAAGTTTGAGCTAAGGTGAGCTGCTTCAGACATGTTTAGCTTTTCCAAGCACCCTGCAAAGTCGACTTCATTACACAAACTATAAAATGCTACTTTCCTTTCCTTTGCCAATTAGGCAGACAAGGTATAAAACGGTACAATTTCTTGGGATGGTAGCCCTGTAGCAAAACTTGTGGCTGGGAGAGCAAAGTGACTGGTAAAATTGGCTTCTTGACATGTCCACTAGCTAGGAATCCCTGTGCAGTGTGCCAGTCCAGCTGCTTCACAGTGACCCTGCTCTCCAGTCTCCAGATGCCCATTCCTGCCATGACTGCTACCTTTGAAAAGTTCCACTGTTGTTCAACTATAATTATATTAGAGTTAGGGGTAGTGTGGACCTCTCACAAAAAAAATGGAAATTATATATGTGCTCAACAATTCAAAGTCAAATTGGTAGACAGAATTGTAGGCTCACAACTAAAGGTGATTGAAAATGGTCAAGTTCATCAATACTTCTGGCTTGTCTCTAGGGGAAAGATGTCAGTTCTCTGTATGTGACATTCCAAAGCACCTATGCCTGCATATTTTATCTAAAATGACAGGAGATGATTTACATATGTTAATGTGATTCATTATTCATGGATATATGACCAGTGTAAGTTTAGAGGAATCCCTCTATATATTGCTCATAGGCAGTTTTTTATAAACTATAAAAGGCTCTTACCATCCAACTGCTACTCTGCTGCTTATGAAAGCTTATTTCAAACTGATTTTTATAAATAAAGCTGACTTTATAATATCTCTTAGCCACAATTCCAGGAACTCGTCGTCCATTCATTCCTCCTAGACCTATGCCCCCTAGACCTATACCTCCGCAGAGAAAGCCTTTGCCACCAAATAATGTCACCGGAAAGCCAGGAAGTGCAGGTATGTCCGTCGCTTATCTTTCTTCTATCTCCATGACTGCATTTTACTGGCCAACCCAACCCTTCTTGGGATGCTGGTTTAAGCAGTAGGCAAGCCATTGGCACATGTGGTTAGATATGTGCTGTTAACTCCAGCTTTGACGACTGAAATCCTGACTCTGAGTGGGTAAAGAAACCATTCCTCCATATCTAGACCAGTGTGCTTCTGAGATACCTGTGTGCTTGGAGCCTAGAGAGAAGCTGACTTTGCTTCAGAGTAGAAGTAGGAGATGCTGAACATGGCCAACCCTCAGAGAGAGTGGAAATAATGTCCCGTCACTGACTTTGCATTCATGTCATTGCGAGGGTTACAGTGTCTGGGGAAGGACTCTGAGCAGACAAGCTGTTCACTTCCATGTCTAGGTTCACACTGTCATAGAATGGTCCCACCAGACCTGACTATGCCACTTCACCCCTCTTCCAGCTTCACAAAGAAGTCTTAGCATTGCCACTACGCCCTCTGTGGCCTTCAGTATACATCTCTGGCACAACAAAAAACAAACGACTTTGTGTTGTTTGTGTTCTTATCTTCCCCGCATAGCTTGTGATTGTGTACTAACAGTCCTTAGTGTATTCCCTCTGAAATTCTAGAACCTAATTGAGTACTTAGAATATGGAGGGAACTTGATAGCAATAACTGAATGAATACACGAAGGAAATGAAGAACCAGTGAAAATTGATCCAGTTCAAAACAAACTTACTCCCGGTTAGGGACTCTGCTAGCCAACTGTGAGTTCCTTGTTGTTCTTCCCCTTCCATAGCTCAACTTCCTGAATATCTGGTAGGTGGACACTGGATAAAAGTATTAAGGACAGCTGTAAAAGATGAAAGTGTAGAAGGTTCATGTGAAGGGAGCTGGTGTCAGTCCTTTTTGCAAGATAAAAAGCAGGCGTGATAATGACTTTTATGATGTTTCATGATTCTGGGTCAGTGGGTTGCAACCCCTTTGGGGGTTGAATGAACCTTCACAGGGGTCGCATATCAGATATCCTGCACATGAAATATTTATATTACAATTCAAAACAGTATCAAAATTACAGTTGTGAAGTAGCAACGAAAAACTGTATTAAAGGGCCCTAGCATGAGGAAGGTTGAGAACCAAGGCTCTAGGGTGTTTTTCCCCGAAGTGTAAGGGAGGATTCAGGCCCTAACTTGTGCATTGTGTCTTTCTGGATCAAAGCCCCTTGAAGGCCGCATGAGGAGACCGGGTTTGTCTCATTCCCTGTAATGTGAAGCAGCTGTAGCATCAGTGGCACTTGCTTTCAAGTCCCACTGATGAGTCACTGCGATGCCAGCGTGTGCCATGAGAACCCAGGGGACCGCCCCTGCAGGAGGTCCCTGGGTGAGGCTGTGTTGTTCACTGGTCTTGGATTTGGGCTTATGGTAGCCTGTTCTCTGTCAGAAAGTACAGCTTTGACACAGGCCTTCTTCCCCTGAGCCTGAGGCGGAGCCACAAGCACATCCTGTTTCTAGGAGCAGCTTAAGTCACCGCTGTGAACTCTCTCTCCACTGCTCCACCTCTGAGAGAAAATGACTCCACTTCACAGCCTAGCAAACTAGCAATTATGTTGGTACAGTTCTAGTGATCCAGGAATCCACTGGATGTCCGGGTGTACTCTGAGAGTCTCTCACAAATGCTTGTGAACATCTTGGCTCCCACGTGGCATCTACCAATTGTTGCCTATCTCTAAATCTATGAAGGCCTCCAAGTACCTCTTTTCTTGCCAGGATGACAATGTTGCTGCCGTTTCCCGCTGATTCTGTCAGCTCTGGAAAGCACTTCTCTTGGTTTTGCTTGGCATTTTATTGTGGCCCACTATCTCTAGGACCAAGGGCCTGAGTTGGGGCGGGGAGGGGGGGTGGGGACAGAGAGCTCCATCTACCTGACTTGGTCATGATTGCACACTGAACCAAATCCTTAAGTCCGGCTAGTATCCCTTGACTAGTAGCCTGAGCAGGGACTTCTTTTCCTAGGAGGAATCTAAAACCCACACTATACTCTGCTGACTATACTAAACACTCAGTCTTGCTTGGACCTTGAATCCAGACATAGAGACTGATAAGTAACTTTAGCAAAAAGAGTTGAACATAACAACTCAGAGGAGCACTGTTCTAGCCACTGGGACAGAATCACAGATGGCCCTGGGGATCATTGTCTTCCTAGTCTGCTCATCTTCCATGTCTGCCAGGTCATCTCTAAGCAAGGCCATTCCATCTCAACTTCTCTCACAGCTGACCAAATGGCTAAGATGGAAGTCTCATCCTTCCTTTTTGTCACTTCCCTACTGGAAATTTTTTCATGGTTCGTTTCCCTTAAAATAGCATCTACAGCAATGATATTCAAGTTCATCCATGGTCTGCCCTTTCCTGGCCCTCCACACGTAGGTTGGGACTGGGCTTTCTCTTCCCTCAGCTGACATGCTTCCCTGATTCATAGACTGAAGCTCTTGCACATCTGTGAAGACACGCTTCCCCAGTGTTACCCTCTCCCCATAGACAGCCACTCCCTCTCCCTGTCCCCTCAGTGACCTTATGTAGTTCTTTCACAATATCGGTGATGTTTCAATATCCTTGGCTCAGGCATCTATGTCTATCAGGAACCAGGTCTTGTTTTGTCTCCAAGCCTGGCTGATAGTGCCAAGCCGCATGGTAAGTGCTTAATAAACGTTTATTGATTAAATAAATGGGAAATTTGGCACTGCCCTTACTACTTTGATTCTGTGTTACAGGAATAATTTCCTCGAGCAGAGTGACTTCCCCACCGCTGAAGGCAACACTAAAACCTACCGGAACAGCCGTAGAGAGATCAGAGGCAGAGAAAAAGCATCCAACCACTCCAGCTTCCGAAGAAGAAATTGGTCAGTGTGATGTTCTCACTAGGCGCTGTGCTGCAAGATGCTCAAGTATTTCAAATTAGGGCAAACAAAAGCTTGGGGGTCTCCTATTTCCTGCAATTTTAGGAATATTTGTCTTTTCAATTTTAGAGTAATACTTATTATCAAACTTTTGCTGTAGAAATACTTCTTTCCTTCGCAGACATAGAAATGCCAAATTTTGTTTTGTTTTATAAAATTTAGACTATCCAATTACCAATTAAAAAATTAGGCTACTAAATTACCTATTACTATGAACTACAGATATTTTAATTTAGGAATAAGTATTAGCTTATTGTTCTAATTTTCAATCCACTACTGTTACACCCCAAAACATCTTGCTGCAGGAGAAAATTAAAGGTCTTTTTATTCTGGATAAAAATGTAAGAATAGTAACGGAAATCCAACCACAAGCAATGTATCTAGGAAGAATGATAATTATTATTTATCTGTATTGCTTTTGCCAATGTACTGTGAATTTTTCTTTATCCTTCATTGAATTTTTCAAGCTGTTTTCATTCTTAGGCAGTACGACTGATTTTAGTTCAAGCCCAACGAAAGAAACCGATCATCTTGGGAAGCCCAGATTCACAGGTATGTCTAGCTCTGCATTATGAGTTCGGGCAGGACTCTTCTGGTAGGTGGGTCAGTTAAGTATTTATTGTTTAAATATTGTAGGTGTTTACTACAATGTGGAGTTTTCATGTTCCTGCAAGTCAACTGGGCAGTAGGTGCAACGGATTCAAATAGGCTAGCCTCAGGTCCACTCTGCATACCTGTATTTTCCTGCCTAGAACAAAGAGTAACAGTGACCTAGGAGAAGCCATTTCACCATAATACCAAATAAATAGAGGTGATTCAAATAGTCACATTTTGAGATCCTTTTGATGTTATATCTGCACAAGCCCAAGCCAAAACTTGGGAGAGCATAACTCTTTTCATGGATGCAGAGATTGCATTGAGATACTGTGAAACTCTTTTCCAAAGCAGTGGTATTGTTTTACATTTCTGACAATATGGATAAAGGCTCTGGTTTCTCCAGCTCCTCACCAGCTGTAGGTACAGAAAAGTTTTTAAATGCCGTTGTCATTTTAACAGGTGCAAAGTGGTATATAATTATGGTTTTAATTGACTCTTCTGGCCTACCCTAACAAAATTCCACAGAAATTTCCACTGGTTTCTTTTTCCGCAATTCTGAAGGCAAGCATTCTGAGATTGGCCTCTCTTCTTGCCTTGCAAATGGTTTCCTTCTCACATGACTGTGCACGTGAGCTATGCACTGTGCCCATGAGTCCCTCTGTCCTAAGAACCCCAGGCTGACCGGATGAGGCTTCACAACTTTCAACCTCGTGTAATTCCAACTTCTAGTTTACAGTTTTATCCGTGTCTTTCTATAGTTAAGCCTGTTGAGGGCACAGGCTTAAATTATGTGTGACTATAATAAATCACCAATTGACTGAGCCTTGCCTTCATTATGGAAGGTGTTTTCTATTTCTGAAGGGCTCTGAAATCTCATATGTTGATATTTACATATTCAGGCATGTTCTCTCTGGACTGCATCATTTTCCCACCTTTTACTTTTAACCATAATCTAATCTATTTATAGTTACACTCTACATTTTTTAGACATCATAGCACTGGGTCTTCCTTTTCTTATACACTCATAGTCTCTGTGATTTGTTTGTGGTTTATGAACCTTTGAAATTACTAGTGATACCTTTAGGGGTGAATATTCATCTTGTTACTTGTTTTCTATTTACCTAGTCTTTGCTTCCTCTTTCTTCTCTTTTGGCCTCCCTTTAGTTTATGATTCTGCTTTAGGCGTCTTGTTCCTTATGACTCCTTGTCTTAGTTGTCCTGTGGGGATTGACAGTGTGCTTCTTTAACTTAATGCCATCTGCCATCCAATGACAAGGGAGATCCCTATGCCAATATTCTTACGTTCTGTGGATTCTTCCTTTCCTCCTGACTTTGTAGTATTATTGTCAATATCCACTACATGAACTGGTTTTTATTTTGAAAAGTAAATTAACTTTTATGCTTGGACTAAAATATTGTATTTAGGCATCCACACTGTTACTAGCACGTTCTGTCATTTTGTGGGGGCTACATTCATCCTTTTGATGTATTTATTGCCTTTATATATTGTATATAGTCATTGTACTTATTGTATATAGTTTTTATATTAGTTATAGCCTTCTTTTTCATTTTTTAGACAAAAAGGGGAAATGTAGTGGCATTTCAATTGTGTTTTAATAAATAAAGACTTCCTGAAGATCTGCAAGTAAAACAGTCCCACTGGTCAGCCTTATAGACCAGGTTATGCTAACACACATCTTTAATCCCTGTAGCCACAATGACACATACCTTTAATCCCAGTAGCCACAATGACATACACCTTCAGTCTCGGTGGTGCACACCTTTAGTCCCAGCCCTAGAGAGTAATATAAGACAGGGAGAGACAGCTCTCACACACACAGTCTCATTCTGAGATACCAGGAGGCAGGATCGCCATTTCAGACTGAGGTTGAAGTAAGAACCAGTGGCTGGCTGTTTTGCTTTTCGGATCTTCAGGTTGAACCCCAATTTCTGACCCTGAGTTTTTATTAATAGTGCTTCATATGATTGATATAGTTCTCATCATATTTTTTGTTATTAAAGGTTTTGAGTTTTACCTGTGTAACTTGTGATTTAGAAGTTTGGGACATTTGAGGCCATTATTTCTTAAGATAATTTTGTACTCCTGCAGCCCCTCCTCTACCTTGGGAGCTATGTCCATATGAGAACTCTTCGGTTTCCCAAAGCTCCCAATGGCCATTGTGCATTATTTGCAGCACCCCACACACTGTTAGTCATGTCCTTCTGTTTGTGGTATCTTGTATATTCGTCTATCTCACGTAGTTTGCATCCTATACATAGTTTTCATCTCTAGGAATTCGCTTTGAGTCATCTTGATCTTATTTAATGGGTCATTTTTCTATCTGCCTCTTCCTTGAATAATAATTCTGGACTCTGTGTGGGTTCTAAGTTTGTTCCAAAGGACTGATTTTTCTCACTATTAACAGGTTTACTGTGAGTTTTACCTTGCTGGGTGTTGCATATTTCATTTCTAAAATATTCTCGAGTTTTGTTCTGAGGTGCAGTTGGTGTTTCGGAACTACTTGATCCTTGTAAGTCTGGCTTTGTTCAGATTGGTGGTGCTCGTTCTACTGCCAGAGACTCACCACCTATAAATTATGAGGTAGGAACTAATTCTGAAGAGACCAAACAGTATCTGAAGAATTAACACCAGGTATATCTATAGAGGATCTCTATCATATACCATATAACCCAGAGGTGCGAGTTTAGAGTTTTAAGATTAAGTCATTCTCAGTACTATTTTCTTTTCTTTTCTTTCTTTTTTTTAATTTTTGTTTAGTTTTTTGCTGGGGGGGGTGATTCTCTGTAGCTTTGGAGCCTGTCCTGGAACTAGCTCTTGTAGACCAGGTTGGCCTCAAACTCACAGAGATTTGCCTACCTCTGCCTCCTGAGTGCTGGGATTAAAGGCGTGCGCCACCACCGCCCAGCTTCTCAGCACTATTTTCAAGTGTCTGCTCAGAATATGACACTAAAGTCTTCACACAGATGCTCAAATGGACAGTTTGCCTCTTCCATCTTCCTCACAAGTGTGCTGACCGACAGAGTCCTCTCTCCTCCCCACTCTTAGGCCCTCATGTGCGATACATCCCAAAGCCAGACAACAAGCCCTGTTCCATCACTGACTCCGTCAGAAGGTTCCCTACAGAGGAAGCCACAGAGGAGAATGCCACCAGCCCACCACAGAACCCTCCTACCAACCTCACAGTGGTCACCGTGGAAGGCTGCCCCTCATTTGTCATCTTGGACTGGGAAAAGCCACTAAATGACACTGTCACTGGTAAGATTGTGGCACTAGGATGGGGCACTATGGTGGGAAGCTTCGATAGCATAGTAGTTCCAAACCAGGCAGCCTGGGTCAAGCTGTGGCACAAAAACCACATCCAAGACAGAGCAATGTTCTGTCGTCCAGGGTGTCATAGGTGGAGAAAGATATTGCTTTTTGTTATGGGCTCCTAGTTAACTGAGAACTTTAAAGCTGAATTCCTCCCATCCCTCTCAGAACTCCCTTCCAGTGTTTGAAAATCCAGTCTTATGATTTTACCAAGAAAAAAAATCACACAGCATAAAGTGTGTAAAGGCTTGATACTTCTGAGACGATTTTAAGTAGCTGTCTTTTCACCAACCCAGTTTCTAAACTGGCTGAGAACTTCCAAACAGGCTAAAAATTATTTTAACTAGCTTTGGAGAAATTAAAAAATAAAATAAAAATAAATCAAAGCTCCCTCACTCCCAGGAAATTTGCCACTTAGCTGAGAAAATTTTGATTGTGCTACGCCGACCAAATTCCTCTATAAATGGTCATGGAAAATAGGAAACCTAGAGTCAGTTTCGAGTTTGTTACAATTTGTGGCACACTTTGATTCTACGTAGAGAAGAGGAGAGTCTAACAAGAAGTGGAAACAAACTGACGTCCAGGATTGCTAGAGGACATGCTAGTCTGTGGAGCCCATGTGACCCCTGCTGTAGGCCCGGTGCAAGGAACAGAAGCATAGACTCAGCAGCTGTCTGAAGTTGACAGGAACTCTATGGAGGACAAGGGTGTGGGTGAGGAGACTCAGAATCTGGCAGAAAATATTTTCTACTGGGTAAAGGGGAATGAGGCAATTGTCTCTCCTTCTCCAAAACCGTGTGATCTGAGCAATTTTCCACATAAAAGTCACCTTGGCTGAACTGTCAGATTTCTTGTTTCCTTTCTCATGAAAGGGCAGCCTCTGTTCTGAGAAAGAGTCTGTGTCACCACCAGTGTCCCCGGGAATCTGCTGACTCTTAATTAAAAGCCAATCAGCTTTCAGTATTGATTAACCATATCATATATTCAAACATGTAAAACTCTAGACTGTCCACTTTGCTATTAAGAGTTTTAGTTTCCTGAGACCAAGTAATAAGCAGAATTTTGTTTGCCCTGAAGATGTTGAGCTATCAAGTCGGAATTATTTAATCTGATATAACTAATTTCTAGTACATCTCCATTTGGATAATACATTTTTTGAGACACAGTTTCTCTGTGTAGCCTTACTTTCCTGGAACTAACACTATAGACTAGGCTGGCCTCGAACTCAGAGATCTACCTGCCTCTGCCTCACCACTTGGCTAAGTTATATAAATCTCATGTAACAAGTCCTGAGCAGAGTATACTGTAAATACCTAACCCACTGTCTTCATAATAATTTTATTAGTAGATGCGGATGAGCTGCTCAGCGTCTGTCACAACTAAGGATCCCATGCCCGAGGATGACATGTAGCTCCTTAGGCACAGTGCCACGTTTAGCCATTGTTCTCTTAGTCTGTCCTTAAATACCAGACCGTTTCTCCTAATGGTCTCCATGGATTCCACTCTTAATTGTGGTGTTTCCACGGAATACCACTTGATTTCAGATGGGACGACCTACAAGCTAGCTGCTCAGGGAACACAGACAGCCGTTCTTCTAATTCCCAAGTGAGAAGCAGGGAAATGAGCTAACATGTCTGTCAGATTCTCTCATTGTGAAGGCCTTTCCCTGTTGATGAGTGACCCCTGCAAGCTCAGGGAAACCTGCCTCGAAGTGAAATTTTGAGGTTTTTATTTAATACAAAGAAAACTATCAAAGGAAGATAACTTAAAGAAGCATTAGGTTCAAAATCCAATTCCTCGGCTCTAAACATCAAAGGAGTTTTATTATTTGGTTCACTGTTGCTGCTGCCACAGTTTTAGGGTCAGATTTGCTATATCAACATACCCCATTCCCCACCAAGAAGACAGCACAAGACATGGCTTCCACTCAAGCACTGTCCCTCATTCAGTGCTTTGCCTAAACTGGACTTTCTACCAAACTAAGCTAAGCATCCCAAGCAATGGCCAGCAGTCTTCACCAGTTATTAGAGCTTCTTCCACTGTGGTAAAGCAAGATTAGTTAGTATTCCAGTCCCCAAATGCTTTGAGAACTTCTGCCACCTGGTGGCTGAAACTAGCTGGAAGATGAGATCATGGTGTCTTGGGGCTAGAAAATGGCTCAGCTGTTAAGAGGACTTCCTGTTCTTTAAGCGCATAACTTTGATTTCCAGCACCCGAGTTGGGCAGCTCACAGTCACCTGTAACTTAAGCTCCAGGAATCCAACACCCTCTCTGGACTTCCCAGGAACCTGCAAGCACATGTACATACCACCCCCCCCATATAGATAGATAGATAGATAGATAGATAGATAGATAGATAGATAGATAGATAGATAGATCATGTTTCTCGAACTATAGCCAATTAGGTCAACCAAGAGATAACACAAGTGTCTGATGTTTTCTTCCATTTTCAGAATATGAAGTTATATCCAGAGAAAATGGGTCATTCAGCGGGAAGAACAAATCCATTCAAATTACCAATCAAACCTTTTCTACAGTAGAAAACTTGAAACCAGATACAAGGTAAGGCCCAGTGCTATTCCGGGTGAATTCTGGGAGTAGCATAAACTTCAATCACAACAAAAAACAGAACGATAGCTCCTCTGCCTTATAGGAGGATCTTGCTTTAATTCTGGGTTCCTTTAATGCGATTTTGAATATATTGTATCACATTTTCAAAATATTCTTGTTGTTAAGAATAAAGGAGTTAATAGGATGCCCTTATAGATTAATAGTATAAATGGCAACCTGAAAATAGGCCATTAGCAAATATTGGTTCTTTTTGTTTATCTGTTTGTTTTTGTTTTTGGAGACAGTGTTTCTCTGTGTAACCGTCCTGGCTGTCCTGGAACTCTCTTTGTAGACCAGGCTGGCCTCAAACTCACAGAGATCCACCTACCTCTGCCTCCCAAGTGCTGGGATTAAAGGTGTATGCCACCACTGCCTGGCTATGCAAATACTGACTTTTAAATATCAAAATTTAGAACAGTCTGTGAACTAGAGATAAATGGAGTGTGCAAGGCATAAACTAGACTTGAGGACCTGACTCTGATGCTGGACTGGGGAAAGGAAGGGAAGCAAACTACTTGACAAAATGCCAAGATTTTATTTAAAATAGCTCCCTATTGGCCCAGTGTTGTATTCTATACTGCTCTATTACAGTGATGAGATACCATGGCCAAGGCAACTTATAAAAAGAAAGCATTTAATTGGGGCCTTGCTTACAGTTTCAGAGGCTAAGTCCATGATCATCATGTGGGAACCATGAGAAGGGGCAGGCATGGCACTAGAGCAGTAGCTGGGAGCTTACACCTTAGCAGGATGGAGACAGAAAGAGCAGAAGATGAGTCTGGCTTCTGGAGTGAGCTTTTGAAACCTCAAAGTCCACCCCCAGTGACACACCTCTTCCCACAAGGCCACACCTCTCCCACAAGGCCACACCTCTCCCAATCCTTTCCAAGATGGTCACTAACTAGGGTCCAGACATTCAAATACATGAGCACATGGGGGCCGTTCTCATTCAGACCACACAGAAGCAGCAGCCCTTTGCTTTGGGGACTTCTTACACTGAAAAGGAATAGATCCTTTGATCAATAGATCCCGGTGATCAGTTGCATATCTTATACTGTTAATACATTAACATGAGGTCATTCATATTTCAGTATAGTTTTATGATCTCTTTTTACTCGAAAACACCAATTGATTTTGTTGCTGAAAGAAGAATAAGGCCCTGGGACATTTCTGATTAGCTGTAGAGAAGTTCCCGGAAGAGGTTTCCTTTCTCTAGGTTTCCTTTGCTGTGCCCTCTCCATCGTCTTCTGACTGGGCTGAGCAGGGCATTGATAGTGACCAGAGAGCAAAGCTCTTTTAACTCTGGTAGGAGGGACATTCTTCTCATTGTTTTAGAGAAAAAAGAAACAACTAATTAACTGAGGTTAACTATGTATAAACTTCTGTTCTTTACTGAAAAAAATGCATTTCTTGCACAAATATGATTTTAAAGTGCTTGTTTTGAGTTGTAAAATGTTTCAACTTTTAATTTTCATAAAACATTTAGGTTAGCCAAAATAAGACTATTTGTCAGTTAAAACCCCAGTGGATCTCGATTCTGTTTCCTTAGCAAGATTGAAAGAACAAAACAAAAAAACACTTTTTTGACCCTAATAAATTTTAAGGCAATAATTTAAAAGAACATTATTTCATTGGACCCTTTTAATATGTTTTGCTTACAAAACTTAAGTTTCTCTCTTGAGTTGCCTGCTTTTTATCCCATTTAATAGTGTGAGCGGTGCTGTACACTGTATTCATGGAAAGCATCTGCTTTGTACGTGTCAGCTGTGTTCCTTTTCTGAATCAATCTGTCTCCACAGCTTCTTACAGTGCACCTATTAGTTCGTGATCTAAATGTAGAACAGGTTTTTCAGGCACATTTGAAGCCAAATTTGTTTGACAAAGCTTCTCATTTCCATTTAACTAATGTGTAGTAATGTGCTACAGGGGCTAAAAATGGCAACCAATGTGGTGTCTGCCTTTGAGCTCAAGTCTAGCAGGAAGGTTAATTAGTAAGCATTCTAGAAAGCAGGGGGAGAGTTCTGGAAGTGGCCTGAGGGAGTGCATGCAGGTGGAGGCTGGGGGAAGAACACTCGTCAAAGCCTGGGAAAGGGAAAAGGTGAGCATTGGACTGGGCCCAGAAGGATGCAGAGAAAAGCACTACATGGTGATGCTGGTAGGGAAGAGAGCGTGGCAGAGAACACAGCACAGTGCGTGACAGTGCAGAGAAGCAAACTGGATTATAGTTTAGAATACTGTATTTTACTATAGCTGTGTTATACTACAAGGACATGTGTAAATACTGTATTTTACTATAGCTGTGTTATACTACAAGGACATGTGTAAATATTGTATTTTACTATAGCTGTGTTATATTACAAGGAAATGTTTAAATACTGTATTTTAGTAGGCTTTCTATTATTTGACTTGATTTTTAAAATCTGAAACCTGAAAGGTATCTAGTAGCAATCTGTACACACCTCATGGGTGATGTAAAGGTTAGTGTTGATCAGTGAACCAGACAGAAAGAAGTATAGAAGCAGAGATTAACGATTTGCAGACTGGTGTGGGCTAGAAATTCTATTCTAGAGGCTAAGTAACATTGGACTACACACTCCTTTCACAGCCAGCTGTCCCCTGCTGGTTCTAAATGACTTCATCATATGTCAATCTACCATGCAGGAGCTCAATTTTTTACTTTCTCTAAGGGGTCACCCAGCAACTGTTTGCTGATGAGAGGGCTTAACTCCATACCTGGTGTCAAATGTTCCTGTCTCAGGGCTGGTGCCTCATGGCCACAGCCTGCTGTAGCAAGGGACTGTGATCTCAAATGTGCACAGGGATAGAAAGCTATCACTTGAAGTAAGGGAGGCAAAAGACGTCTAGAGATTGAAGACAAATGCTATCTCTTCTTCTGAAGAGAACCTATCCCAATTACTCAAAAACAAAAAGAATTCTGGAAATGTTGATTTCAGTTTGACCAGTGTCATAGTTAATTTTCTATTGCTGTAAAGAGAAATGAAGACCAAAGCAACTTGCAGAAGAACAGCTTTATTGGGAGCTTACAGTTTCAGAGGGCTAGAGTCCATGACCATCATAGAAAGGGGCATGGTATCGGGCAAGCAGGCATGGTGCTGAGTAGTAGCTAAGAGCTGGCATCTTTCTCTACAAGTAGGAGGTAAATGGGAATACCAGGAGTCTTTTGAAACCTCAAAACCCAATGCCAGTGACACACCTCCTCCAACAAGGCCACACTCCCTAATCCTTCCCAAAATGGTCCATCAACTAAGGACAGAGAATTTATCTTAGGGTTTACTATTGCTGTGAAGAGACACCATGACCATGGCAACTCTTCTAAAGGGAATATTTCATTGTGGTGGCTTGCTTACAGTTCAGAGGTTTGGTCCATCATGGCAGGGAGCATGGTGGCATGCAGGCAGGCACAGTGCTGGAGAAACAGTTTAGTGTCCTACATCTTGCAGGCAACAGGAAGTCTACTGACCATCACACTGAGTGAAGCTTGAGAAAAAGATCTCAAAGCCACCCCCAGTGACACACTTCCGACAGAAGGTGTGGCCCAACTTAAAATCTAGCCTCAGGGTCTGGATTAAAGGCAAGTATCATCCAGCCTCCTTCAAGATCACACTTCCTCCAACAAGGCCACACCTTCTAATAGTGCCACTCACTATGATCTTATAGGAGCCAAATACATTCTAATTACCAAGGGGCTCAAATATATGAGTCTATGGGGGCCATTCTCATTCAACCACCACAATCAGAACTCCAGCCCATGCCCCAGTAATACCTCTTTATTTCTTCCACACCAAATCTCCTTTCCTTCCATTGGCCAGGAACAACACAGTCATTTCTCTTCTGGGCAGCATGGAGCTCTTGTTGAACTGAAAGTAAAACTGTAGAAAGAGTCATCTGGGAGCAAGCCTCTGTGTCTCTAAGGCCACCAGCTATTTTTAATTCTACAATAGGGGAGCTGATAAATAGTACCTCAAACCATCAATCTGGCACTAGTGCTAACTGGGACAGGCAGTGTGGCTTAGCTGATCTTTGGGGTCTTCTGGAACATAGTCCTGGGATAGGCAAAGCCATGCAGAGTCAGTGAGAGTCAACCAAGACCCATAGTGAATGGTCTCAGTCAGCAGCTTGTCTTTGAGTCTGCCTTGAGATGAACTGGTAAGTGCTTTGTTTGGTAACATTGATGCTATGGGTTCTTCCTGGTGAACTAGTTGGCAACACAGATGGACACACATGATCGCCTGGGCTGAAGAGCTCAGGTTTGTTCCAGAAAGCCTACTTCTCTTCTTACTCTACTGAAAAACTGAAGAATCTGTTGTGTGTGCCAGAATTACATGTGGTCCAACAGTTTCTTATGGAAAACAGAGTCTGGTAATTAAAATAAATCAAATTCACTTCATTTGACATCTCTGGCTCAGTGGGATTCTGGGGAACAATCATTCCTCTAAGACTAAAACCTGCCAGAGTTTGGGACTCCTGTTTACAGAGTTGATAAAACCTTGGCACTGATGGTTAGCTGCAACACAAACAGCGACTTCTTATAAGCTGTGAATCTGGCTCAAAAACAGATGTGTGGAATAGCCATTAGTATCCATCACAGGTTTGTGTGGAATTCAGCTCTCTGCAAATTCTTTATTTACTTTTCAACACCATCTATGGATTTGGTATAAAGTAAAATAATGTGCCAAAGCATCAGGCATTTTACTTAGTTTTATGTAGGTGTGGGCAACAGATGAATAATTCTGTCCTTGTTAAAGAAAGAAATGGAGGCAGTTGCTCAGCTAGTAACTTGTCACCATGCAAAGAGTTCTCCAAGTGCGGATCTCTACTGGTCTGTAAAGAGAACAGTTTTGTGGTCATCACTACATGTCTTGTTATTATAGAATTCCTTATATCTAGAAAATCACAGCACCAGAGTTAGAAGTGAAGCCTAGCTCTAGAATGTCCAGTTTCTGACCCCAGACCCCTGAAAGTGAAAGACACAAGAAACTTCTCTTGGGGCAGAATGGGTAGCCAGGTCATGATCCTCCATGATTTCTGCATCCGTTTTCCCTTCTGTCGCTTCTGTTCCTTCTTATCCCCACCCCGCCCCTTTACTTCCTCTTCCCCTCCCTTCCTTTTGAGACAAGTTGGTATGCTACTCAAGCTGGCCTCAAATTTGTGATTCTGCTTCAGCTTTGTAAGAGGCTGGGATTGCAGGTGTGTGCCGTCATGCAGGTTCTGTCCCTAGCTGAGGTGTCCGACTCCTCTCTGGCCCTGAGCTCCTTAACTGTACCCCATTGTTGCACAATGAATGACATTACAGGTTGCTAAGAGTCCTGAATTGCTGTAGCCCTCCAGTGTCCTTGAGATGAGGTCACAAAAACTGTCTCCTTATTGCTTCTTATTCTTTCTTATTCCACTTAATCTGATTCTCTTCCTCTGACAGAAAACCTCACCCAAATGGGTCTCCAGCACTTCAAGACCTGAGCAGGGGTGAAATGAGCTAACCATCATACAGTCCAAACCGACAGTCAGTCACTGAGTGTTTTTGCATAAAAACAAGTTGTAGAAGAAACAGTTTACTTGAGGTTTGAGAATTTTGCTAACCTAACTTTTCCAACCTGTAGGGAGTTATGTAACAAAAAGTAGATTAAGCAGTGAAAGCTGAAACTCGGCTCTAAGTTTACACCAAAACTGAACTCTAGAGAGAACAGGTGAGGGGGTGATGGAGGTGACCACACCCCTGCTGTAGGGCAGCTCCTAGAGGCAGACATCCTGCTTCTGACAGATTAGCTCAGGAACTGCAAACCATACTTTCTGGGACATTTTTTTTTTCACTTTATTCCAGTAGCTGATTTTTTTAAATTTTACCCTTCATTATCCTTTCCTATTAAGATAATTCATAGATCTTTTTAAAAGTCTTTTAATATATCAAAGTCTTATCACCGCTTCCTAAGAAGCAAATATTGGAAAAACATGAAAAACAGTGTTATAAGTCTTTACATATCTTTATGTTTCTTTGGGGCTTTTTGTTCATCTGAATGTAGATTTTAAGATAAAATTGTGATAAAATGAAGACCTTCTAAGAGTTATTGGATGTCTCCATAACTTCTAGCCCTGATGTGCACCTCACCACCATTAGGATTCTGCTCCCTCAAGTAGAGCCCATTATTTTACTCTCTGGGCTTTTTCCCACTCTACCGTGGTACGCTGAAAATTCTCAGGTGTTTTTAATTCTTTTCACATCTTCTTGGGCACAAAGTAGGTCTTTTTCATCTTGAAAGCAAACATCTTTACGTTCAGGGAAATTTCTCACACAATCTCTAGGATTAAAGTCCCCATTTTATAGTTTCTGCCAGTTGGGTGTTCAATAATCCAATTTTCTATTTTTAACTGACTTTTATGACTAGTTATCTGCAGATTGTCAACTTTATCTTCTAAATGTCTTTTTTGGTTTCTATGCTCATTCAAATAACTTTGCTAAAAATGTTGAGGTGGCACCCTGTATTTATGTACAATCGTCATTCTCTGAGACTTGACTCTTAGAGGCATATAGTGTCATTCGGGTGACAGAATGTGCTTTCTGGGAAAGATTTTGCCACCACAAAGTATTTATGTATTTATGTATTTATGTATGTATGTATGTATGTATGTATGTATGTATGTATGTATTTATATAGGGCTTAACCAGTCAAAACATGCCCTCATGTTGTTAAACATAATTTAAAATTATTTCTTCCAAATTTGTATCATAAAATATTGGGAAAAACTTCAGAAAAAGTAAGTTATGGAAACTGTGTGCACGCTAGAAGTGGAGATCAGATGGAAGGAGCTGAAATAAAATGACAGGGAAAGGAGTCAGGGGTCCGACCTGGGCACGACACGGGTCGGCTGGCATGGCCTAGGACAGCTATGACATGCACTCCTACCCAGTGAAACTGCAGATCCATGTGAATCCAACCCCCACTGCCTCCCTTAGTCAGCTCACCAGTTCGGTGAGGTTTTGTTATCGTTGGGACTGTCTGACAGCACCAGCCTTAGAAAGAATAGAACCTTGGAAATACCCACGTGCGGGACTTAAGTAAATGGTACAGGCGTTTTCAGACCAGCATTGTTTATAAAGCTGTGAGATCATGTGTGTGCATGCCATGATACACTGTGGAGGGCAGAGGACAGACAGCTCTGGGTCGTAGGCCTCACTTTCTACTTTAAGAGGTCGCTTTTGTTGTTTCCTACTGTGTGGCTATACAAGCTGGCCTGTGGGTCTCTGGAGATGGTCTTCACCTCCTACCATGCTACAGAAGTACTGAATTTGGGATTACAGATTGGATGCGTTGCCTCCACCCTCAGCCCTGCTCGATATGGGTTCCAGGGATTGGAACACGGGTTCTCACACTTGCATGCCACTCTCCCAGCCTGGCATTTTCTTATGGTAATGGCATAGCTACATGTAGCTAAGAACTGAAAGGGAAGCTTGAATTCTATTCCACAACTATTTCAAGTTTGGAAAAGTCAAAGTATTACAAGAGTTACAAACATCACTGGCCTGAGATGAGACTTGGGGGGGGAGTACCTCATAGGGTTTGTGTGTTGATTACTTTATAAATGCAGAATGACCATGTATGACACACGGTAAGGACTTTAAAAAATGGTTCCCATCGTGTGAGCACTGGAATCTGTCCTACTACACTCCAGAAATGATCTACGAGTACAGAAGCTCACTCCACGGAGCCTCCCACTTCCCTTGTAGCACCATCTGCACCCAACTGGGCACCTCAGCCACCCTGCTGGTTCTCTTAACAAACACTTATCTTGTGTGGGCTGCATTCTTACTTTGTGATAAGCTTCTCAAAGATGACCTTTATTCCCCAAACCTTGCAAAGATCACAAAGCACTACCTGCTGACTCCGGCCGAGTCAGCCCGAGAGCAAATGCAGCTGTGCCCTCTGCTGCAGGAAGTCAGTTTCAGACAGATGTGCACTGCTTCCTGCTCTGGGCTTCTCAAGGGGATCTGCAGTTTATACAGCTTGTGAGAAAGATTTGTCAACTATACAAAATTTTATGACTCACTCATAAAATAAGGATTGAGCCAAAACAATTCTACATTTTTTGAAAGGACCTGAGCAGTCCGAGCCTGACTTACTGAGCAGAGGGAGAACAAAGTCTCGGGCTTTGTGCTCATGCTCTCAGGACACTAGTGGGCCAATTTTCTGGACAGCCTGGATTCCTGTGATCTGTATCAGACATTCTCATGTGTCTCCTTTCTTGCATTTCTCAGAACCAGGGGCCACAGAACTCATCCCAGTAACTCAGTCTTCATTTTCAGCAGCGGAGGCAGGACAAATAATGTGCATTAAAAAAAAAAATCTTCCCCATTACCACTCTGTGTTGTGATTCCAATACCACAATGAGCAACACTGGGCTGGCAGGGGACATCTGGAGCAAAGGGAGGCTCCTTATCCTGGGATGAGAGTGGTCACCAGAGAGCTTTCCTAGAGAAATCTGCCTGGTGATTTCTAAATTTGTTAATGTTTTTCTCAAATGAAGTATTAGACAAGATGTTGAGAAAGTAAAACCTGAAATTGTCATGATTTAAAAAGAAACAGTAGTATAGCAGAAAAATGTCATTCCTTAAAGCCCTCAAAGATGTTACTATTGTTTTCATTTCTCCTTATGCAGCTATGAATTCCAGGTGAAACCCAAAAATCCACTCGGTGAAGGCCCTGCCAGCAAGACGGTGGCATTCAGTACTGAATCAGGTAATCATGTCAGTAGTGATCCACACGGATGTGACCGGACACAATCACAAGTGTTGGCATAGAAGGAGCTTGTCTGAAACCCAGAGTGTCTTGAATTCTGTAGCCCTCGAGAAGAAGCTAATAGATGTACTTATTATATAGTATTCAAATGTTTCCCTGCATGCCCAGAATAATGTCCATCAGGTACATCAGAGAAGGGAAGTTATGAGTTCTGGAAAACTATCTGCACACTCCAAGCTTCAGTTCTCAATAAAAATCTGTATGTGCAGACAAATTTGCATAATTCTAAACTATATCATATTTTGGTAACTTTACAATAAATAGTTTTGTAGAAAACTAAATGAGAAATCTTTTGAAAAAGCTAGAACAACCTATGCTCAAATCTACTCAAATCATGTGTCAAAGATGCCGCTGAGTATCTGAAGGATGATCAACAACCATTTCCAAAACAAAAAAAACTTTCAGATTCAAGCTTTAGCAAGATTGTACATCATGTAAATAAGACCTGCCTTCTTCATCATAATACTATAACAGTAAAACTTTATCTAAAAGACTCTTCCCTGTGTGTTGTTTCTCCTCAGCTGACCCAAGAGTGAGTGAGCCAATTTCTGGTAAGTACCAGTTTCAATGGGGACTATACATTCCAAAATTAGGTAAGCACAGCAAACTTGAGTTGAGCATCTTTCTATCTAGAAAGATAAAAGAGGTGTCATTCTTAAATATATAAGCACTTAGAACTCATGGGGGCAGTGCTGAAATTTGCTTTAACTCATACACCAGTTCACTCAAAATCTGATTAATTTGCTCACATTAAATTTTATACTATGTTGAGTCAGGCAGTGGTGGTGCACGCCTTTAATCCTGGCACTTTGTAGGCAGAGACAGGAGGATCTCTGTGAGTTTGAGGTCAGCCTGGTCTACAGAGGGAGTTTAGGACAGATTCCAAAAGCTACAGAGAAATCCTGTCTTGAAAAAACAAAAACACCAACCAACCAAACAAACACAAACAAAAAAAAAACATTTATATTATGTTGCAAAAAAGAGCCCCAAATGTGTCTACAAACCAGCACTGCAGACCCTAGTGCAACACCTAAGATATTGCTGAGATTTATTTCACTAGTGACAGAAACTTAGACTAGAGTTTGTTAAACGCTTTCAAACATTTTCAGCCCCCAGTATTTAATGCAGTAAAGAAATGAGGTATCAGGAAGTGGGCAAAGAAGTCTGCAGGCTGCTTCTGTTGTAAAGTTCTTCAGAGTTAAACACTGAACCCAAATCATGCGTTTTCCTCATGCAGCAGGAAGAGACGCCATCTGGACAGAAAGACCCTTTAATTCAGACTCTTACTCCGAATGCAAAGGCAAACAATATGTTAAAAGGACATGGTATAAGAAATTTGTCGGAGTCCAGCTGTGTAACTCTCTGAGATACAAGATTTACTTAAGCGACTCCCTCACAGGTATGTCCCACTACCCTAGCCTTTCTGTGACGTTTCAGACTCAGCACTTTATACAAATCTCTTTCAGAAAATGTTACAGACACAGGTAAAACTATTAATCTTAGAAACGAGGACTTAGATCTGCAATTTGGAGGCAGATAATGAAAATACAACATAAAATGGTGACACCATGACCAACTTCAATGCGTAGGCAGGTACTTGCCCAGGAAAGCTCAGTGCCGTCACAACCACCCAAGAACTAAATCCTACTACTAATCATGAAAGGAACTCGACACCCTTAAAATGCCAGAAGGGCTCAAACCCCTGCACTATGTTTGTTTATGTCTTTTCTAGAATATTCATATAGTAAAAACCTTGTGGTCCCTCATTCATTCATCAGGTTGTATTCTGGGTTTGGTGGGTGACAAAGTACAAAATGCCATATTCCTGCTTTCATATTGGGGAGACGCATTAAATAAATACGTAAATTACCCAAGAATGTCACAAAGACACAGAATGGCTCAGCAGAAGTGGAGGCTCCTTTAGTTTTAGGGAAGGTCTGTGTGCAAAGGTATCATGTCTGCTTAGAATAAATTTTGAGAAGGAATCAACGACAGAAGAGTCTAGAACAAAGGGTCTCTGGAGAGGTAGAGGAAAAAAAAGTGTGAAGGCCTGAGGCAAGACATACTGTAGTTTTGGCTGAGATTTAGTAAAAAAGAAGTTGTCTTCTGAGAATAACGGGAGATTGCTGGGGAGAATTATGGATAGAGTAATAACTTGCATTATAAAAGTCACTGTGATCTGAAGGGTAAAGGGGAACATTAGGAGGTAAGAGTTAAGCAAGGACATCAGCTAGGAAACCTTTCCTAGTGCGAGAGATGTTCGTGGCTTTTCCTCTGGGAAGTAAGGGAAAAGAAAAGCAAAACTATTCTTTGAAATAATTAATTATGGAATTGCCATATATTAAAGAAAAGGACATTGTTTCATTTCTGGTCCTTCAGGAAAGTTTTACAACATAGGAGATCAGAGGGGCCATGGAGAAGATCACTGCCAGTTTGTGGATTCATTTTTAGATGGCCGCACGGGACAGCAGCTAGCCTCTGACCAGCTACCCACCAAAGAAGGTATGCATTCTGACCATCCTATACAGAGGGTTGTGCAGTCTAGCAGGGAAAGCAATAAGTTGACAGAAATGGCTACAGAACTGCTACTCTGTCACTAGGGGAAGAAGAAACTTAGCTCTCAATTCAAGCACAGATCTAGAAAAATTAGATATATAAATGTATTCTGAGAAAACTAAAATCTTTCCCAAGTTTCCAGCCCTCCTGCTATCCCTATCAGTGTCCTCACAGCTCCAGTCATATGAAACATGCCTGGACATCTTCTTTGCTCCCTTAAAAATTGTTCCTACCATACAAGGAAAACAATATTTTCCTTAAAATGATCTATATAAAACAATTATGATAAGTCTGAGAAGTGAATATACTCAGCAAATTGCTAAGTACATATTAGCAGCAGGATGTGTGGGGAAGACTGATGCTGAAACTACTCTTATAGTACTGACATGCTAAGACAAATGGCAAGCTTTTAAGCCCTAGGGTCATTGTGTTTCTGGGTTAAGTATCAGATCCTCTATAATTACTAGTTTTCTCTATTGCTTTGCTTCACTCGGAGTCATCTTTACACTGAACAGCCTTCTATCTGCGAAGGGTGTGAACAAGGACATGAAAGATCTAGTAAACTAAATAAACTCTTTTTCCTCTTAGGCTACTTCAGAGCCGTTCGTCAGGAACCTGTCCAGTTTGGAGAGATAGGCGGTCATACCCAAATCAATTATGTCCAGTGGTACGAATGTGGGACCACAATTCCTGGGAAATGGTAGCTGCAGCACAGCTGTTTCCAAAGAAACAAAGAACCCGTTGGAAAGCCTATGGTGTTTGTCACCCCCCACTCCAAGCTCTGTTGTTTACTGTGTATAAAAGTCTGCAGCCCAACTGAGAGCAGCACTCGATGTTCATTGTTAGAAAAGATTTCTGAGACGATTTATCAGGTTTACAAAGATGCTTTAAGAAAGCAAGATTATTAACATTAATAGAATAACATTTTTTAGGGAAGCGGGCTCCCTATTCGTGATATTTTAAGAGAACATTTGTATATTATTTATCACACTGTTGTAATGTTTTCAGATACTTTTATAACAAAATTAATGTCAAAAAATCTTTAATATGCTTTATAAAAAGTATTTACTTTATGAATGTGTACGTGTTGTTGTTGGTGAGTTAATCCCATAAGTCTCTACTTGGTTTAACTTATTGGATCAAATAATCTTCAGCATAGACATGTGAGAGAAAGTGGATCTAATATTTAAAATTATGTAAACTTCAATTTGTTAGCATCAGATGAACAGATTTTTGAGTTTAAATAGTTACGTATTCATGCTAACTTCTCCATAACCTATCAGCAAATTACTGAAAAGAAAAATCTATGTAATTTTATCTCAACCAAACAGCTGATAATCTGACATGTCAAATGATAAATTNTAAATTTTGATGTTTTGATTCTGTACCCATAATATTACGTCTAAAAATACTTTCTCAAACTCTTCCTTTTAACATTCTTTTGAGCGGCTCTATGGTCCTGTTCATGCAGTATGTAGAGACTGAGTGTGAAGTCAGCATGGAAAGACAACGCATGTGAGATGCTATTGTTTTAGAGGATATATTATATATTTATACATTAAGGCCATGAATGAATGTATCAGAGGTTGTTTTGTGGACACTGTTTACTTATGCTGTAACAAAACTGACTCATTATGAAGCGGGGTACATATTTCTGGGAGGGAGCAAGAATATTATTGCCTGCCCTGAAAAAAACTTTTCTCTATGTGTATCTTTCAATACGCTTCAGTTTTATCAATGCTACATTTTGTACTTTTCAAGCAAATATAAACTCTGCAATAAAAAGATAATAGGTTTCTAAAAAGTGATTTTTAAAATGTTCTGAATAGTTTGCCAATATGTAAATATATCTTTAACTCCATAAGGAAAAATCAGAAAATTAAGAGCTATCAAACCCCTATTGTGTTTATATTCTAAGTCAAACAAATATGTTATATATATTTTTCCCTGAATGGAAATCAATTTCATAAATTTTATTTGAAGACCATATACAAATAAGATGACTAGTTTTCTTATATATGAAATAATAATTAAATTACAAGACCATTATTGGATTCAATCACCTTTATTAGCCTATCAATGTTACATTTATACATACTGTCTAGTCGTCTTCTCAAAGGGCTCTATTTTTAGTACATCATGTTAAAAGTAAACAGCCAAGTGTGATGGCTAAACCTTAGCCTAGCGTTTTAATATCCTCTGGGAACTAGAAAGCCAATCATTTTACACGCAATAGTGTTTTAAAATAACTAGGAAACTGCTACAATTTTAAGCAGGGGAGGAAACATGTTCATTTTGGTCTTTTTTTGTTTGTATTCCAGCAAATTATATTTTTAATTAATAGAAACAAGATATCATAAAAATTGCTCTGCTTTTTAAATTTTTGAACTTCAATAAAGTACAAATTGAAACAAAAAATAGTATTGTAGTCTTTTGAGAGGCAATTAGCCATCAATAGTGTAGCTGAACCTCCTTATCAATAACCAGGTCCAGCTTGGGTATAGCCCTGACCAAAAGGAGAACGGTTACGTGTATAAGGGTTAGGCACACTGGAAGGAGGGGTCATGGTACCTGCAGGAGATGGCATAAAACCTGGTCTGGGTTGGTAAGCACCAGGTTGGCTTGGAGCCATTCCAGGCTGGGCACCAGGGGCACGGTATATTAGCAGGTTGAGATGTTTGGGTAGTGTAAGTCTGCGGAGGATAAGTGCTTGCCTGGTACTGGTGTGGTTGAGCGTCATGCCCCACTACAGACTTCCACATCTGAGGGCGACAGACGATGGGAATAAATTAGGACGGAGAGAGGAACCGAGAGGAGGGATGATTAGAATGCTGAAGCCAACTACACAAGCAATCAAATGTTTCTCACCATTCTTAGAAGAAAACAAGAACTGAAACAAAGCAGATAGAAGTTCTAGGGAGACATCTCAGTTAGAAAACAAAGGAGTGGAAGTTATTACAGATAAACCAGAGTGGTTTGAGTCCATCCACATCTGGAGGGAAGTCAGTACAGATGTAGGCAACACAGCAACCTCTGTCAGCGTGCCGGGACCGTTCACTGCGTCTACAGATTGTAGTATTTGACAGCACCTTCTGCAGGATTGGGGTGGCATTTCCCCCAGATTTACCCATGGTTTCCTTTCTAGTTGTCAGGACATAAATGAGTCCAAGGTCCCTCCTGTCTGTAATCTGCTTAGCTACACTGAAATTGTTTTCACCTGTCCATAGGATACGGTCCTACATTCACTCTAAGACACTCACGGAAGAGCCGTCGGGACAGTTGGTTCAAAGACCCACCCTAGGGGATGCATGGGGAAACATTGACAGGAATCTCAGTTTCCTAAGGGAGAAAACACCGAGGCTTTATGTTTTATCACTCAATTACAAACATTGCTCAAATGTATTTAAAGATATACATATTCAAACACAGCATGTAACAGATCCCCTTTTTGGAACACGTGGGATTTACCAACCAAGTAAACATTGCAGAGGTCTTTGGAGAAAACTAGTTTGGCAGGGGAGCAATCATTCCTCCACTGGATACCCATGTTTTCCTGAGCCTTGCCACGGTAGTGTGAGGAGGAACTGCCTAGTAACACTGTGGGCTTCTGAACAGTGGTGTGGCAAAGTAACAAGGGGCAGTGCCCATCTGCTCTGGTAGCCTTTGAGATTCCCTGGCTCCGCTGTCAAGTCCCTGCTCATCCTTCTTTCTCAGGGACCTCCACCCCCGGGAGGCCATTCTGGTGTTCATCACTGTTTCCCAGAGGAGACACTCTTCAATACCTATCTGCAGGCCTCTGTCCATTTAGGCCCCAAGTCTCCACCGAGATGCACCTGGAAACCTCCACCCTTGTCTCTGTTTCCTAACAACCCCAGAAGATGATCCCTGGGAGAATCTGAAGAGGGGAATTAAAGATCTTCTAAGGGGCAGCTAGGGAAGTGGTGAGCTAACCAGGCCGAGAGTCACTTGAGCTGCTGAGAGCAATGTCTTCCTTACTTGGCAATAGCTACTTATAGGGGTTAGCACAGGTAAGGATGACCCGTGAACTACATCCTATGGCCTCTCTTTGACATGGCCTGGCTCTTGCGCTGTTCTGAACAGAGTGAACCTGGAAAGAAGTCACTTGTATTCATGGGCAATAAGGAAGCAGTGAGGTCCGATAGTCTCATCTTTTGTCCTTCTAACCCATGCCCCCTGGCCTCATCCCATCTCTCCCATCAATCTCACACACTTCTTAAGATCAAAATAACTTAATATGCTCGTACTGTTGATGACTCATCAATAAGGTTGCTAACTTGAAGCAGAAGGCTGGAGAATAACCCGGTGAAGGACAGAGAATGCCAGCCCATCCAGTGCCTGATCACAGTGTCGACTTATGACAAAAATAGTCCACAGACACCTCAGTAATATGACAGCCCACATGGGACCCCAGCCAGTCATGCAACATAGAGAATGTACCTCTTAGCCAGATACTAGACTAAGCACCTTACAAATATTAACTTAAATACTTTGACAACTCCATGATTCCTGTGATTTTGTTCCCCAATATTAAATAATGAAAGGCTTAGCATAGCTGCCTGTCTCCAACACTCTGGGAGTCCCACAAACACAGAGTTACCCCAGCTGAATAATCATGTCTGCATTTGGCCCCTCAAAGCACTTGGCTCAGCACCAGTGTTCACGTGGGTTAATTCCTGTTCCCTTACATCCCCATGTACATTTTGTGTCCCTGATAAACCATACAACAGTCTTTATCTTCTGTGGGACTCCTTTAGCTTAGTGCCTGGGGGCAGCCGGCCCTTAGAGTGGGATGTGTAGATCCTCAATAGAAGCCAGGGCATACTTCGCTGGACCCTCGGTCCTAGATGGCTGACCAATCACGTCCCTGAGTGCAGGCCATTTCCTTGTTCCTATCTTCAGATGTTCATGGTCAACCACCGCACGCAGACCTGATGGCCATCACAAGTTCAGCACCAATTAGCAAACTAAGTGCTCTGTGGATTTCTCTTCCACACTTCTCCGGGCGCCCAAGTCTCCCAGAACTCTGAGTACCCACTTTCACTACTGTTTGTTCGGGCTCACAGCTCCGGCTCCTCCAATCCACACCTGGCACCATCACCAGCTGCTGCCACTTTAGGGCAAGAAACTGAGCAGCAGCTTCAGTTCTGTTTCCAGGTTTTCTGTCATGTCCTGACACACTGTCCTCATGGCTACTTCCTGAAGTTTGAGTCAGTTCCTTAAGCTTTAAGTATCATTTCTGTGTCTAGTGTTTTGAAAAGTTTTTTCAAATCATGGGATAGTTATAAAAATGACCACATCTAAGCCACATCCCTAGCAGTTAAGACACGTTCAAGAATGCTCTAGGACCACTCTGTGTCCTCAGTTAAGACACGTTCAAGAATGCTCTAGGACCACTCTGTGTCCTGCGTAGGACAGTTGCACCTAGGACAGTAAAGGAATTCAGAACAAGCCAGGGGGCTGTGGTGGCAAACATCTGTGATCCCAGCACTCGGGTGTAGCCTGGGCTACAGCACTGTTGTAAAGGTTTGGCCTGAGGGAGGAAAACAAAAACAACATCGGATGTGGCCTGGAGCAATCAAGGAGAGGCTTCCTGGGAGATGGTCTGTATGTGAATCTTGAAGGGCAAGCCTTAAAAACACCTCTTCTTACCTGTAGCACTTACGATGAGGTCACACAGAACTGATGTCAAAAGGATAAGTCCTGGGAAAGGAGGGAGAAAGTTCTAGGTTGTTGGGAAACTGTGTGGAGCCTGAGCTCACTGACAGAAGTCTGACTCCAGACGAATTCCTCCAAGGAGCTGTGAACTCTGACACACTCCATGCTGTTAAGAGCTGTGGCCCTTCCCTTCTGTCTTCAAGTCAGACGTGCCCAGGTGACTTGTTTGGGCCAATGAAATAGACCCTTTCTGAGGGGAAGACCACTGAGAGGTTGGAGGCCTATACTGTGGCTGCTTTACAAATAATCCCCCAGGGGGACTCCTCTGGCAGCCTGGGGCCCTCAGTGACAAAGAGGATGCACAGAAAGTCTCAAGATCATTCTAAGACTTTATTGAATTTAATTGAATTCCAGTTATTGAATCTGACCCAGGCTCTTCTGATCTTGGTGGGCTGTGGAATTGTGACCTGATTGGCTTAGAGATAATGAACTCAGAAAGGGGCTCAGACTGGTTTCACCAGTCTTGCACTGAAGAGAGCATCTCAGCAGTAGAACAGAGGCATTTCTGCAGGAGAACAGAAAACTCCTAAGGTCCCTTCCAAGTGGACGCTAACCTTGGGGCATTTTATTTGTTCTGCTAAAGCTGTTTTAAAGTAGAGAAAAATGTAGAAAGGGGAAATCTTTTAGCTAACTTGGAATTCTAATCCAGTGTCAGAATTAGAGTATCAGAACAGACATTGTAACACATCATGTGGCAATGCAGTTCTCCAGAGAAACTGTAGGACTTTAGAGATGAGCCCAAGAAAACTCTTTCCCCCTTACAGATATCCCCCATTCGTCCCTTGAGTGGAGTGTAGCATGCAGGAATAGCTTTGAAACCAAAGAGATCAAGTTCGAAATCCACTTGTACATTGAGATAGCTGGCCAGCTTTTCCCAAGTGGCAACTTCATACAAAAGCGTGATTACACCCACCCGACCTTCATGCGCTACAATACACCTACACTGAGTGTCCTAGGAGACTGATTTGCTGTTGTGCTGTTTTCTCCTGAGACAGAGTGCCGCTATGTAGCGCAGGCTATCTTGAACTTACTATACGGACAAGACTGACCCCAAACTTATCGTCTCCTGTCTCAGTCTTCTCAGTGCAGTCAGGTGCCTAACCTTTTCCAGTGTTCTCTCAGAACTATACACACGGCTTCAGGACTTCACCCCGGCACCCTGCTCCTTTAACTCAGTCTCGGGATGGATTTCTTCCCCCACCTCGTCTGCTTTGGCTCCAGCAGCTGAGGCTAGAAGGATGCTCACAGCCTTCTGAAGCTGGTCAGTGAGAAGGGAGGATTTTCAGGACTTTAGTACTCCAGGAACCATCCCTCCACCCTCCACTCTCCAGAGTGCAGACACAGGTACATAACAACGGTGCTGACAGACGGCCTCACACAAATCTTCATTCCGAAAATAACACTTTATTAATTTACAATAGTTCAGGAAAGTCCTTGGGATGTTGTGACTAAAATGTAATCGCCATAGAAGTAGAGCTGATCAGTGAGCCACCAGTCCTCTCCCTTCTTCAGGTGACGAGCACAGAAGGGAAGACATCATGTCCACGATGAGAAAGCCGGCGGTGAGCAAGGGGAGGACAGGCACAGTGGTGTCACTCGTGACCTCTGCTCTCAGGTCTGGATCAGCTGTTTTGTCTTCTCTTCCCATTGCCTCAGCCCTGTTCGCAGAGCCGGGTGACAATGGCGTTGAAGACAGAATAACCCCCACCCGCGTGCTGTAGCTCAGGGGTTCTTGAGGCTAGACGTTGTGATGCTCCAGCTCCCGAGTGGCTTCAGGACTCCTATGGAGGGACATCCAGAAAACAGGATGCACCAGGCCTTGCGTTCTAACCTGTCCTCACAGCCACCTCTGTTGTTATGGGAACTTTCCAAGGAGATGCAGATGGATCTTGGAAGTGGGAAGGCTGTTCTAAAAACTACAATTCTGACATTAGAGATGAAGGAATTACAAGTTCTGAGAGCTGTGGTCGAGTGAGGAGTTTATAGATGACCTGTGAAACACAGGATGAGGAGGACGTGAACCATCAGGAAGTAGATGGTTGCAAGCAGTGGCACTCGGGTCCGGGAATGGCAGAGTGAACGCAGAACCCGCTTCCATCCAGCGCCACTCCGGGTCTGAAACAAACAAAACAACAACAACATGAGGAAGTCAGCTCCATTTGTAGGCTGTCTCTTCACCAGTAATTCTGCATCTCAGCCAACTGATCCCACCTCACAGCGGAGGGGGATCGGGAGAAAGTTTCCTCAGTGGCCGACCACCAATACCACTGCCCATCTCTGTACCTCAGCCCGGTCCCACCACAGAGCTCTCCCTGCGTCCAAACTTCCCTCTTACCCTACGGCAGCTGCTTCCCGGGATGTCAATCAACACTGACGTCTCCTGAGAGCCACAGGCACCAATGATAGGAGTCCGGACCGAATCCCATTCACTCTGCTCCAGCCTGTGTTGAGAGAAAGATACAGCACATGTCTCCCTGCATGAGAATCTTCCCAGCCATTCTGGGAAAGTGGCCTAGGGGACTGGCAGCAGAGATTTCTCCCATAGGCCAGGCCACACAGTAGTAACGGAACTGCTTAGTCAGGATGCTGGCTTCGGTGCTTCCGGCTGGGAAGCTGGTTAGTGTTTTCCCTGTGGAAGAACGACTAACAATCAACAGAACTAGAACCCAATGCCCGTTTGTCTTTATCCTCATGTTCTCCCCCCCCAATACCACATTTCATTCAGAAACTCACTCATTTCTCTCTCCCCTTCCTTCTCCACCCCACCCTGGTCTTTTGTTTGTTTTTGAGAAAGGGGCTTACTATGTAGCCCAGACTGGCTTTGAACTTACGATTCTCCTGGCTCTACTTCCCAGGGCTCATTTGCCACTCATCTGCCTACAGGGCAGACGTTTTAACTGGAGTGGGGAGCATGCAAAGCCCCTTTCCTCTTCCTGTTTCTTCCCCACACTGGGAATCTCCATCAACTGGACACTTCTCTGTGGGCCGCTCTCTTCTTCAGCAGAGAGGAAACGCCTTGATCTGAACCTGGTCCAGGTGGGCCGTACTTAGTCGCCCTGCTCTCCATTCTGGGTTTTTGTTGTTGTTGTTGTTGTTGTTGTAGTTTTGGTTTGGTTTTTGAAACAGGTTTTCTCTATGTAGCTATGGAGTCTGTCCTGGAACTTGCTCTGTAGACCTGGCTGGCCTCGAACTCACAGAGATCCACCTGCCTCTGCTTCCCAAGTGCTGGGATTAAAAGTGTGCATGACCAACACCTGGCCTCCATTTTGCTCTCAGTCAGAAGGAAAGGGGGAGGGGCTAACCTTAGGTTACTGTGGTCCAGACACAGGCTCCAGACTCATCCTGACTAAGCTGTCTCAAGTTGTCCCGAGCCTCCCCATGGACCAGGTTTCTCATAAGTGGGAGAGAAACGACCATGAACAAATAGGTCTGAAAGTCTCTGCAAGGCCACTACCCAAGCTGCACCATGTTCCCATAGAGCCTACCCTCAAGGCTACCTAGACGGTGTGTGAAACAAAAAGCTGTATATATGCTGGATGGGAAAGAAGGAAATCTCAGCTAAGACCTGCTCCCTGGAGAAGGCATTGCAAGAAGGCAGAAACATCCCCAGTGCCGTTTATTCTGAGGGAGGAGACAGCAGACACAGTGACTCCCTTACACACATGGTGGTGCCTGCTGTTTCTTTCCACGTAAAGGGGATTCTAGCAACAGAACACCTGTAGCCTTACTACCTTCTCACACACAGTGACTTCCGGTTTCCTTGATGTGGAATAAGTAACGACAGTACCCAGCTGTGTCCTTCCAATCACACTCGGGATAGAGGGCCCACAGTATCACACACATCCATGCCCTCCTAGCTGGGCAAAAGCCGGTGACTGGCAAAGGGAAGTTCAGGGTTAAGCAGTGCATTGCCAATACATCAAGCCACACTCTTTCTTTTTTTTTTTTTCAAGAAGCAGGTTTTATTTTATTTTATTTTGACTTTTTTTGTTTTTAATTCTTTTTTATTTATTTACTTATTTATTTATTTATTTATTTATTAAAGATTTCTGTCCCTTCCCCACCTCTGCCTCTCATATCCCTCCCCCTGCCACACTCTTTCTTAAGTGGTCTTCTATTTTCCCTTAGGTTACAATCTTTAAAATTTCAATTGCCTAGCTACGTGCGGTGGCATACACTTTTAATCACAGCACTGGGAGGCAGAGGCAGGTGGATTTCTGTGACTTCAAGGCCAGCCTGGTCTACAAATCAGGTTTCAGACCAGCCAGAGCTAAGTAGAAAGACCTTGCGTCAAAAACAAAGAAACAAAGGTCTGGGTATCAGACAGGTGATGAGAATGCGTTCATTTGGTCCTCGAAAGACTCTGACACTGGGGTCGTGGAGATGGCTCAGGGGAAGAGCGCTTGCTTTGTAAGCCTGAGGACCTGCATTCCCACCCCGGCAGCCACGTGAGAGCTGCCTGATTGTGTGCACCTGCAGTCCCCAGGGCTCGGGAGAAGACAGAGGCAGGAGGATGGTCACTGAAAAACAGCAAGTGCCAAATTCAATGAGAAACTCTGTCTCAGGGGAATATGTCAGAAAGGGATACACCAAGACACCTAACATTGTCCTCTGACTTTGTCCCCCTGCCCCCAACATGCACACACACAAGAACCCAACATGTACCTCACATAGTTACTGCTGGGATGAAGTAAGACACCTTATATAAGCTTCCTGTGTACTATGGATGGGAAAAACATTTCTAACCCCTGCAACCTACTGCGCTGGAAAGCACAGGCTTCTGAAACCCCACAGGTACCCTGCTTCTTGGTGATGACTCTCAAGTTGCTCTAGGACCACATCAAGTCAAGGGGAGATTACGATCTTAACTCACCCTGAGCCTTCGCAGAAATGTGCAGGAGCGAGGCCAGGGAGGGTGACAAGGGGGCAGAAAGCTCCTCCCCACGCCTTACCTTCTGATCTGCTCCTTGGCCAAGGAGAGTGCGTTCTCAATGGCCAATCTTTGGTCTCGCTCTTCTTCTAGCAGCTTCTCTAACTCACTCACTTCTTGTTTCGTGCTGCAGAGCTGCTGCTGGACTTCAGACAATCTGGAGGGTGAAAGGCAGGCAAAGGGCATCACTGGATGTAGGACACGATCTCGAACACATCGTCACAAGGCTGGAAGCACTATTCCCCACATAGGAAAACTAAACTAACAGAGAAGTCCAGCTACAGAACAATTACAACGGAAAATACCTATGGGGAGATGCGAGCCCGTCGGAGCAGCTGTAACTCCAGCATTTGTAGTGCCGCATGTGTGCACTTGTGTTACAAGCACTGTTTACTTCTTGCACAACATCTGTCAGGTACTGTTGCATTCAATCTTTACATCACTCTGTGATGCTAGTCAGATACTAGGACTCACTAAGAGTATACGGTGAATTCTGCTCCACCAAGGTTACAACCCAATTTCATTAAAATAGCATACACTGGCCATACACAACAATAGGTTTCATTATGATCTTTCCATACACGTAGGTAAGATCTTTTTATCACATTCACCCATCACCTTCTCTTGTCTACCACCCAATTTCTTTGCACACAGTGTATGTGTGGAGGAGAATCCTGCTCCTCTACCTTGGCTGTGGCTCCCCTGTGGCTTCCGGATCCCTCTTTCTCTTTCCATTCATTTCCTGGGCGCTCCTGGAACATCATCTACATTTGGTGGCCCCTAGAAAAAACAACAGCGGAGCAGTTGTGATGGAAGCTCTTCAGACACCTTCTGTGTGTGCAAACTGAGAGCCTTTTACTGTGTAGGGAAGCAACAGTTCCTAGCTATCACTCTGAGCACTTCCCGCCGCTGCCTTACCGCCTGCAGCTCCTGCACCTGCTTCTCCAGGACAGCGCAGTGCTTGGAGAGGTCACTGTAGTGATGCTGGTTCTCGCGGAGACTCTGGCTGGCGTCGCTGAGCTGGATGGAGAGGGTATTCTTCTCCTCCAGCAGCTGTGAGAACTGCAGCAGGGAGAGGATGAGGCCCACCCCAGGACCACGTCACCGGAAGCAGTGCTTAGGCAACTGGCCTGAACTTGCAGGACCTGATTTGCAGTGCAGAACCCACCTTAGAATCCTACCGCAGTATGCTTCTTCAAAGGGAAAAATACCTAAGTGTTTCGGCATGAAAGGAAACTACTTCTGGAAGAATAGCAGGAAACTGGTTTATTTTTACTGGTTCCAAGGTCTATGAACTGAACAACGATTAAACAGAACCCCCTAACAAAAATTCCAATAGAACAGGCTATTCCAGGAATGTAAGCAGAGGGCAGAAGGTTGGGTCCATGCTTAAATTACTAATGAATAACAAGCCCTAGAACTCAGTATAGACAAAGAGCAAGCTCACACTTAAAAATGTGTGTGATAGTATTACTGGGTGGACATGTTTCCAAGAGAGCAGACAGAAGTTATATGTGTCTATGTGGACTTGAGAAGCGGAAGTGGGAGCCCAGATGCTCACCAAGTGGAAACAGTAGAGTCCCTACGCCAACCTTTCCTCTAGGTCCCGAGGGACAGGCCACGGTCAGAGCTGTCCCTGCACAAGTTCAGTGTCAGGTGCCCACTACCTGGCAAAGCAGTCTAAGCCTCTGCTTTCTAAACCAGGAAACCTTCTTAAGATGAGTGAAAACATTTAGTTGATGTGGCTTCTACCAGCTGACTGGGACTGGACTCCTCTGGAACCAGAATTGGGATTCCTCACTTGTGCACCGTCAGTTTAAACTTCAGTCAAGATTAACAACCAGATACATTGGTAGCCATGGAGATGTCCTCCTGAGTACCCACCACAGAGACACTAGAAGGCTTGGGTCACAGGGAATGGATGGATTTGGCTGGGAGTCTTGTGATCTCTTGAGGATTCTTTTCTAAGTGTTTGTGTAAGAAAGTTCATCAATGCTTCAGAGAAAACAGTTTTCTAGAGACATCTGGGAAAACGCATTGGATACACACAGATAGCACACATGATCACAACGTGCTCTGTAACTGAACATGGCTCCAGATGACTTTGTGTTTGGTTGTGACTCTGAAGATCAAGTTTCAGTTTACAAAACATTTGGACAAATACCATCTTCATTGATAGAAACAGAGAAAGGACCTCCCTCCTTTTTTACAAATGGGAAAAAGAAATAAGCTTACATTACTCAAGGCCATGGCGTCAGCAACTCCCAGACAAAGGCTCACAGGTATGGGTCTCAAGTGTTGAGTCCCATCTGCTTTATGATGTGGCCCAATCTGGGAAGGCGTGGTGTGGGGAGAAAGGTGTTACTGAAGAAAAGGCTGTGAATTTTTGAGAAGCTAATATTTGAGGGTGGCTGGCCGAGTACAATAGGAACTCCAGGGTGAGGACTAACACCACATTCTCCCATCACAGGAAAAGCGTTCCTAGCTGGAATGAACAGCCCAGGGCACAACAAACACAAGTAAACACAAACAAAACAAATCTCTCCAGTGTTTAAAACTGTCTTCTCATTTTGTCTCTAGAAAATCTAGAAACAGAGGGCAGACCCATAAGCTTGTTGGAAGCGAAGGCTTGTGAACTACAAAGACAAACAGTTGATCACTAATCAGCCACTCGTAACCCGTCTTGGGTGTCTGCATTCTGTCTAGGTTTCTGGGGTTAGGAGCAGGCATAGGATCCAGGGGCACGGCCTCCCAGTGTCCATGGAGTCTCACTGGAGCAACCACTGCTCATAGGAACGGCCGCTGTGGGGCTGCCACCACAGAGATGTGCAGGGCACAGATGACTTAGGCTCCTCAGCTTCTGCCTCTACTTTACTCACAGGCTGACTGAATTCAGTCCACTAAGGCTAGACTAACACTATATCATTAGACACGTTTAAGGTTTCTAACACATTCCTACACTGCACAGAGGCATTGAGCTAAGCCAGCAGAACTGTGTAGAACACCTTAGCATTCAGCAAAGGAGCGAGGTCAGAGAGGGTTAGAAAGAAACATGTGTGACGGCCCCTCAACTTCATCTCACTCAAGTGAGAAGCTGGGACCTACGGGGAGTGAGACTAAGCTCACGTGACTTAAGGTTTATGTGTGTCCTCAGTTATGGCCAGACTCTCAGCAGGCTAATGGCAGTCACTTGTTAACTAGTGGATGAGTGGGCTAGGGAGGTGCCTTCCTCACAGCCAGATTCTAAAGAGAACTATTTCTTATCCCGAGTGACAATGGCCTATAGCCACTTAGTTTTCAGGTAGGTACCTGTGATTGGAAGAGGAATGGTGGACTTGTAGGGGTGTGGGACATCCTGGTTTTCTATCTTTATCGCTTGTTATACAACTTTTTGTGAACATGTAGCCTGCTATGCCAATGATCTGTTACATCGTAAAGCTATGACAAGTTCACCAACATAAATGGCATTTTTGAGGGGTTCTGGTGTTTCCTACTAAGATATGAACTGCTTACCATACTTCTAGCTTCTTCTACCACACCTTCCTAGCTTAGCTTTAATATCCTAGCTACCATACTTGCATCTACCAAGCTTTTCAAGTGACTGCTGGGATTGACTTGCCACCTGTACCATTCTGGACCCCATGGATGTTTTCCTGATGGAGGCGCCATCGTCCTCCCTGTGCAGCTTGCTCTGCCTGTGTCTGGCTCAGCTGAGTCTGCAAAGTGCTAATGAGTTCTTCCTTTTCTTGAAGCTGCTGCTTCATCAGGACAAACTCCTCCATCTCAGCCGAACTCTTATCCAACTGAAGGGGGAAAATATTTCCTTAAGCAATGGGGTTGGCATTCTTAGTTCTTTTGACTTTCTCATTTGCCTGAATACCTACCATATTTCCTTCTAATTTCCACTTTAACACAGAAAAGAATTTCATTTTCTAATTTTTTAAAATATTTATTTATTTATACTATATTCTGTCTGTGTGTATGTCTGCAGGCCAGAGGAGGGCATCAGATCTCATTACAGATGGTTGTGAGCCACCATGTGGTTGCTGGGAATTGAACTCAGGACCTTTGGAAGAGCAGGCAATGCTCTTAACCGCTGAGCCATCTCTCCAGCCCCCATTTGCTAATTTTTAAAGTATCATTGAATTGCCAAGATTTTTTTTAGAAGAAGACAGAAGCAATAGCAATATGTTTTTCAGTTTCTTTGAAAGCTAGCATAGCAAAGAGACAGACCAATTAGTGAGCAGAAAAACATGGACAACAGTAACAATATGTAGGAAGCTACCCCACAAACCTTGGACTAAACAAGTTAAGGGCACACCATGAAAATCAGGATTTTTCTTGGCATTAGAGACTGCAAAATAAAAAATGAGACAGCAATAGAGCTACATCTGATGGTCCTGTGGAATCGGGAAAAAATCCAAGGTAACCAAGAAGAATTTGTAGGAATAGATGGCAGCCAGCATTAGAAGAGAAGCAACAGATCATGGGTAAATTGCAGGCCATCCACAGGCAAGATTCCCATATGAGATCTGTATAGTTAGAGGCTTAGCAAAGATTCCTTGGCAACTAGCACTTGCTGCTCTTGTGAAAGGATCCAGGTTCGGTCCCAGCACCCACAGCTATCTGTAAGTCCAGTTCCAGGGGATCTGATGTCCTCGTCTGACCTCTGGGTATGCAATGCATATACATCCATGCGAGCAAAAACATCCACACAGAAAATGAATGAACAATTACATAATATCATTAAAAAGTCAGGCATGGTGGCTCATGTCTATAATTCCAGCACTCAAGAGGCTGAGACAGGAGGACTGCCACAAGTTCAAGGTAAAACTGGGCTACAATCTGAGGCCTTGCCTCAAAAACAACAACGAAAATCACGAAGAATAAGGAGCAGAACAATATGCTGAAAGACACTGTAACTTATTTCAGAGTTAAACATGTTCAAGAAAAATGTACGGGACATGAAAGGAAAATTAGAATTAGAAAAGTTTAAAAAAGTAATAAAATTCATAAAGTTGATATAAAAGAAAATTCATTTCAGAAGAGGAAGCCAAACACAAAATGGAATGCCTTGAGTTAAATAAGAAAAAGGATAAATCTAAAAACTATTAATCAAAATTGGTAAAGAAAAAATACACAACCAAAAATAAAGGTTAACAGAAACCTGCTAGGAAGAAAATAGAAGCATCGGAGCTGATCAAATGCTGTGAATCACATGATTCAAGAGTTTCTGAGAACACATGATCCATATATGAAAGCATATACTGAGTATGTGCAAATACCAACGGAGAAGGCCACACACACATACAAACACTAATAAATGAGTAGACGTGGAAGTAAGGGAGAGAGGGAGGGGCAGGCAGGGAGGGGCCGACTGACGGGAGATTGCTACTGATTGTCGAGAAAGAGGCATTTGCCGTGGATGTCCGTTGGCTGGTAGTGATCTGTTGAGCTATAATAACGAGGTGACTCACTCCGGCCTTCACGGCTTGTTCTGACTGCGCCTGGTGAAGCTGGGCTTGCAAAGGGCTAATTAATTTCTCCTTCTCCTGGAGTTCACGTTTTATCTCTTCTACTTTCATCTCTTCTTCTGTGGAATTCTTATCATGCTGAAAATTGCAATGATTGAAGTCGCTTAAGAGGTATAATTAATATATATTTTATCTTTTACACTATTTGCCTTTTAGAGACATTTAATTACAGCTTCACTGAAGTGATAGAAGCACTCAGGAGCCAGAAACAGGAGGATCTCTCTTAGTTAGAAGCCATCCTGGTTTATAGTCCCAGAACAGTCAGAACTACATAGAAAGCCTGACCTGTATCAAACAAACAATAAAACCAATCAACCAACCACAACAATAAAATCAAACAACAACAGAAGCAAGAATAAGAAACTAACAAAAAGGGATGAATTTGGGCTGGGAAGATAGCCGAGTTTAAGAAAGCTTGTTCTACAACAATGAGGACTAGGGTTTGGCTCCTAGAACCCACCAACACCTGTCCCTCCAGCTTCGAGGGATCTGACACACCCTCTTCTTGTCTCTGATACGCTTCTCTGTCTGTCGCTGTCCGTCCATGCCCCCTGCCACACAAATGCACACATGCACGCTACGCTAAGCACACCATGGCACACATGGTTACAGGGCTGCTGTGACTGACAGCTAGAGCGGACTGGGATGGCTGGACATCATTTACTGAACATGGAAAGGGAATGATGATAGAAGATGCTGGCACGTCTAAGGCCTGGGGGCTAAGTAGTAAGATAGAGTGAAATGCAGAGTATAAAATGGAAAAATAAAAAATCTAACAACACGACTCAAGAGAAGTCTGAAAGAATCAACATGAAAAGGAAAGGGTTAGTGCCTGCCACCACAGCTAGGGAAGAGAGTTGTCATATGAACCATAGAGGAGGAAAAGAATTCAAACAAAGAAATTACTTGCTTTTAAAACCAACTTTGAGGTGTTAAACAACCCTATTCTATTCCCCTCCTTCTCGTGCCCCTGCTGAAGGAGGGGCTAAACCTAGGGCCTTATCCACACTGCATAGGTGCTCTTCTCCTGAGCCACATCCCCAGGGCAGACAAGGAACAGCAATGTCCCTGAAAGGCAAGGCTAAGCAGGGGAGGTAGCAAGTGCTCTCAAGGGCTGTGGCTCAAAACTTGAAAAACTCCCCTCGGACGAACATTTCTGATAACGTAATACAGGAGGCTGACGTTCAAGCGCTGTGAGCCACAACAGCACCAGTGTAATCTGCACACACGCCCCTAAAACCTGGTGGTCCCTGCTCTCTACATAAATGCCCGAGCATGTCTCTGAACAGAAAGGCCAAGAGGACACCTAGAACGATGCCACACTTCTCTAAAGACAGCTTGCTTTAGTCCCTCTGCATCCCGACTAGACACTGCTCTGTGGCAGCCACCATAAACCTTGCCAGCCTCCTTAGAGGGTACCAGGGTGGGCCTGGCAACTCAGCTCATAAAACATCAATGTACCATTATTCACTTACAGAAACAGAGAATATTCTTTATTAGTTAAGCAATAAAGGGATTTCAGAGCCGGGTAAAAACCTTAGAGATCACAGTTTTAATGTTCTAACCAATAATCAAACTCATTCACAAAGTATATGCTTCTCCCCTCTGTCTCACTCCAGGACTCATGTCTTCCCGTCAGCCCTTTGAGAGCCTCACTGGGAGTCTGGGTAACACCTGCCAACTCAGGCCCACATTTCCGTCTGCCTTTGCTCTCCCAGTGTGGCCTTTGGTCCAAGCAAACCGCAGGCTCGGAGGGAAGGGCAGCGCTTCTGATCATCATCTCCCCACTGCAGATGTGTGTGGTAGGGCTCCTGGCTCAGAGGACACCCAGTCTCTATCCAGTTCCCGTACCTTGGAGAGCGGCTCCGCGGGCTGAGGTTCAGTAGATGTAGGCGAAGCAGCCCCTCCTTGTGCCTTCATTTCTTCGAGGTGTTTGTTCAAAGAAGTCAGTTTCGCTTTTGCATGAAGTTTTATTTTTTTAATTTTGTTATCAGCAGCTTTACGCTCCTCCTGCCGGAGAGCAATGAAGACAATAAACGAGTTTACCTAGCACACAACTTACTCGCGGCAGGAAACGCGATATGGCACTTAGGAATAAGAAGCAGGGCTAATGCTCTGAGCGGATGGCCTGTCTTTATCAAATGCTCGGCAAACAGCGAACGACAATACCTGCAGAGCATCGTCCTTCTGCTGGAGCTGAGCATCCTTCTGGCTGATGATGTCTTTCAGCTCCACCACTAACTTCTCGGCTTCAGCTAGGCGTTCCAGAACATCATCTTGCGTGCTGTTATTCAATTCCATGCTAGATTCCTGGTGTAATTCCTGGGATTTAGACAGAAAGCAATAAAAATAATACACAGGGGAAAGGCAGCAACTCCCCGCAGGGACTGCTACATCCTCACCTCAATCATTGGCCAGCTCCTCTCTTTTGAAACTGAGCCCTGACTAATCCCACAGCAGTTATCCTTGCCGTTACAATATAGTGTTTTGTCTAACTTAGAGGATTGGTTTTAAATTGATTTGTTTCTCTTATATATGAGTACCATGTATGTACACCTGCAGGCCAGAAGAGGGCACCAGATCCTATTACAGACGATTATGAGCTACCATGGAGATTGAAAACTCAGGACCTCTGGAAGAGCAGCTGGTGCTCTTAACTGCTGAGCCATCTCTCCAGCCCCAGAACTTTTATTATTCTAATTTTATCCAAAAGGAAAATAAAGGGAGGTAATGATTACAGAGTATTAAGTAAATTTTGGGAGCCCAAAATTTAAAATTAGAGCTGAGCCGAGGGCTGGAGATGTGGCTCAGCTGGTGGAGTGAAGGCCGCGCATGCACAAGGCCTGGCTTCAGTTCCCGGTCCTGCATCAACTGTCATGGATGGCAGCACACACCTCGGACCCAACACTCAGAAGGCAGAGGTTGAGAGATCAGGAGTCTAAGGTCATTCTTTGGCTAGTGACAGAGAAAGTTGGAGGCCAGTCTGGGATACATGAGACCTTGTCTCAAACAAAATAAATTAAATTAAAGTAAGTTATTTGAAAATTAAAACAAAACAAAAGCCCTTAACTATTTCGCTTGCCGCTTGTCTTTGAAAAAGTTAATGGACTTCTTTTGAATCCTTAAGGGTTGGAAAATACAATGCAAACTACAAGAAAAACAGACAGATTTATAAAAATACACAGAGGTTTTCAAACAAAAATGGTGCTCCAGGCCCATTTACTCTTTACACTTTCCCGTGGAAGAGGAGTTTCTAGACTTAAGCCAGGCTTTGTCACACACCCAGACCTAGAAACACTTACCTAGGTGGCTGCTCTCCATCACTCTCAGTTCGGGTTCCCCAGCCAATCCCCAGCTCCATCTGTACTGCAGCCCTGCTGGCTCCACCCACAATTACTTCTTTCTCTAAGTAGCTTGGGCTGTGGTGGTCCTACTTTTTGGATTAATGAGAAAAGTACTGGAATCCCAGGCAGAGAATCCCTCAACTGTTTTTAAGCCAGAATTTCTTTAGAGAAACATAAAGACACAGCACATTAGGGCGCAGCACGTGTGCCCGTGCCCACCCGGAGCACCAGACCTTAAATATTTTCCACATTATCATTAAAAGATAAGATGGACTGACTGAAAAAGAAATCCCAGAAGCTTATGGGAAGGGGATGACGATCTGGAGCAAGTAACAGCTTTCCGGCTCAGCACACAGCGGCTTCATCACATTGTACTCTGAGGTCGCTTTACCTGGTCAGCGTCAGTTCCTCTGCCTTAAGATGAAGACTAAGAAGGGCCAGTTTAAGACAACTGATGCAGTTCCTGGCTCTGAAGCGGGATCTATAACTGCAACTAATGCATGCATCTGGTAGGGCATCTTTCACGCAGCCGAGAGCTACAGCTCAAATGCTAGGAATCCAAGGGCAGGAAAGTTAAATGGAGCAAGATGGTGATCCCTCTCTATAGGGCTCGTCGTAAAATACAAACACAAATACACCTGTAAGGATCAGCAGACGGAAAACACTGTGCTAATAAATTCACACGAGGAAAGAGGGACTGCTATCATTTTATAAATCACCAGAATCACATACAGAAAACTAAAACAGAGCTCCATGTAAGGCCAAGCTTCTATAAAACAGCAAATAAAAACAAGCTCGCCAAGCTCACCACACACTCTGTGCCACAAGACCTGACACCTACAGGAAGCAGCACTATGGATTCAAATAAAAAGCCTGGGGCTGGAGAGATGGATCAGTGGTTAACATCACTGGCTGCTCTTCCAGAGGACCTGGGTTTGATTCCTGGCACCCACAACCATCTGTAACTCCAGTTCCAGGGGATCTGGCACCCTCTTTTAGACTCTAAGATACCAGGCACACACAAAGTGCAAAGATACACATGTGGGCAAAAAGTCATACAAATAAAACTTAAAGCAGAAACAAAAATAAAAATAACTTATTTTTCTCAAAGCCTTCTTCACTATCTATTCACAATTATTATTTTAAAAATATGAGGCAGGCCGTGGTGGCACATGCCTTTAATCACACCACTTGGGTGATAAGAGTTAGTTCCAGGACAGCTAGGGTTACACAGAAAAACCCCGTCTTGAAAAATTTAAATAAATAAATAAACAAAGAAACACAAAGTCTCACAAATAACTTATTCCTATAGGTAACCAAGAAAAACTAATGATATTTTATAAACAAGAGTGGTATCAACATCTCTTTCATCGAAATGGGTGGGGGCGGCAGGGAAGGAGAGGTGAATTTTAAAAGTCAGTGAGAAAGTTAAAAAGGAAACCTTCTAAAGATCATTATTTTTAGGAAGGGCTGGCTATGTTACAGTAGGATGAAAAGTCCACACCCCAAAAGCGTGGGAATCCTCAGAAATGCGGACAATCATCTTAAGAAACCAAGGAAGAATCTTCTATGTGATATTCAAAATCTGTTGCATTGGGCCATATTTTTTATTTTTTCATTCTCTTAATTTGTATTTTATATTTGTATAAACATGTGGCATATTTACAGAGGTACTCACACTATCTACAGCAAACATAAGATATACTCAATAAACATAAAATAAATACACTTAGGAGAAATAGGTTCAAAGTGTTTTACCTATAGCATGTGCAATTAAAATCTTTCAGGAACAGCGTAGTCAAATGTAACTGGAGCTAAGAAGGAAGCATCAAAAGGGGCTTTCCAGGATCAAGGAAGTAAAAGCAGTGTTATGAACACACATCGCTTCAAGCCGGGGCCTCCTGGAGGCAAGCGTTCTACCATTTGGGTACACTTTCAGCCCCTGAAACTTTTCAGTTATTTTCCAATTCCCCCGCTACCAATTCCAAACCGTCTGACTTTTTCTAACAGAACATTTCCGGAACGTGACCCTTTACAGCCATTCTGACCATCCAACCCTTATTAACTCAAGTTTCTGGAAAGGACACTCTACACTGTTAGAAACTCTTCCGCTGTCACGATGCTTAAATCTGGAAAGTCGTCCTTTGTGTGCTTGGAGAACTTCTAACTATCTTCCAAAGTGAACGTGTTTATTATCCATGATTTTAAATATCTGTCCCAGCCTCACACAGTCCTCTCTCCACAGACCAACTGCAGCGCTTTAAATAAACCAGGCAAATACTTTCCTCACCCTCCGGCTTGCATTCGCATTCCTGAGGCGCAACGACAAACACACCCCACACAGACAATCCCAGGTTTTTCCTCCAGAATTCCCTTCGAAGTTCCTTCTCTTGCGATCACCTCTGACTCCTGGATCAACTCTCCCCCCCTTATCTTCCCAACCCATTAGCACCAGCAGGATCACGCATGGGCCTCCGACTGTGGCCACACCTTTGCCCTTTGCCTAGTCTGAGTCCTGCGGCCCCCACGGGATAAAGACTATTTGTGGCATTGTCCTTATACAGATTTTGGATGACACATCTCTTGCATGGGTTATTCCTTCTATAAAACAGAAGGAAGCAGAGCATACTCATCAGCTGTTCAATATTGGTGCTGATCTGAGCCATCAGAGCTTCTCTGTGCTGCTGGGCTCTTTCTTCTATGGCCCTTCCCATAAAATAGTGCTGAAGTCGTTCTTGTGCTTGTGCGTGGAGCTCTCTGCTGGCCACTTCTGACATCTGAGAGTCCTGAAAACACATGGCAGAAAACTTGTCATGAGGACAGATAGATCAAAATATGCTTTACCTAACCACAGAGCAGAGCTTCTAGAATTCATAGCAGTCTCTTGTTTTATCTATAGAATCTACTGCAAGTATTAAACTGTCTATAAATTAGTAGCTTTAGTTGGGTATAGTCAAGCCTGTAATCTCCATGCAGAAGCAGAGGCATGTCAATCATGAGTTCAGGGCCATGGTGATACCTTGTCTCAAAAAACCTAAAAGACAAATAAGCAAACAAACCAACCCATAAGAAACAAAAATGTAGCCACCAAACCAACCAGTCAGAATTTAAATAACAACTTCCCAAACCCTGATTTTATATAACAATGTAGGTAGGCAAGTTTTTTTTTTTTTTAAATTAACTTATTTTCTCTTGGAGTTATGAGTGTTGAGTCTGTACATAAGCATGTGCACCATGTGTATATGCTGTGCCCTCAGAGGTTAGAAGAGGGTGTTAAGATCACTCTGAAACTGGAGTTATAGAGGGTTGTGGGTCTCCAAGTTGGTGCTAGGAAATGAACATGGAGTCTGTAAGAGAAACAAGGGTTCTAAACCACTGAGCTCTCTCTCTAGGCCCCAAGTTTCTCTTTGGTATGTTTCCAAGCATCATTTCTACAAAGACATTGATATTAGGAGACAATAATGAAAAGTACATTATATAGAAGAGGAACAAAGCCAATTCCTTTTGTTTGAATCCCATTTGAAATACTATTTTACTTCTTATCCATCCCTACTCTAAATGCATCTATACCATAATATTATAACTGGTCCTGATTTCACAGAATGAAAAGCAGAAATCTGCTAAAAGAACCTATCCTTTAGATTATTCAGATAATTTAAGGGGAAGTTAGTGACAATTTGAATAAGAATTAAACAATCCTAGTCTTATAGCTGATAAAATTTCTGATACCACAACTTTCTCAAATATTTATGTAGTCCTGGTCCAGTTGGGAACTTACCTTTCAGTTACAAATCTTATCAAAGTGCACTAAAATCTGTCCAAAGAAACATTTAAAATATAACAAACCAGGGGGCTGGAGAGATGGCTCAGGGGTTAAGAGTACTGACTGCTCTTCCAGAGGTCCTGACTTCAATTCCCAGCAACCACATGGTGGTTCACAACCATCTATGATGAGATCTGGTGCCCTCTTCTGGTATGCAGGCAGAACACTGTACACATTATATATCTTAAAAAAAAAAAAAACTGGTGTATTTATCAGAATTACACTCATCTTTCCAGATCTGTGAGATCTACACTCATATTCACCTGAATCAAAGTATTAGAAACATTGCATCTATGCTGAATTCAAATATATACAAACTTTTCTTGTCATTATTTCCTAAAAAGTATAGTCAAAGAACAATTTACACAGTCTTTACATTGTATTAGAGAGTGTAAGTAACTAGAAGTGGTTAAGAGTATGCACAAGGATATGCAGAGATTATATGGAAGAAATAACCATTTGATAAAAAGAGGTTTAACAATAGTTCTTAAGAGGATACTGTAGAACTACTAACTATAGTGGTATATTATTTGTGTTTTAATAAATGTAAATGGTGACTGCTCTTTCATTCCCAGCCACCCAGACCCAAATAATCACAAGAAACTATATTAATCACAACGCTGCTTGGCCTATTAGTTCAGGCTTCTTATTACCTCTTACATTTTTTTTTTCCGAGACAGGGTTTCTCGTAGCTTTTTTGGTTCCTGTCCTGGAACTAGCTCTTGTAGACCAGGCTGGCCTCGAACTCACAGAGATCCGCCTGCTTCTGCCTCCCGAGTGCTGGGATTAAAGGCATGCGCCACCACCACCCGGCTTAACTCTTACATCTTAACTTAATCCATTTCTATTAATTTGTGTATCACCACGAGACTGTGACTTACTGGTAAAGTCCAAAATCTGTCTCCTTTGGTAGCTACATAGCATCTCCTTGACTCCACATACTATCTCTCTATAGCCCTTCTATATTTTGCCTTGACATAGGCCAAAGTAGCTTCTTTATTAATCAATATTAATACAACATATTCACAACATACAGAGAGGAATCCCATATCATCTCCCCTATTCTGTCTAAATAAAAAGGAAGGTTTATCTTTAACAGAGTAAAATTACATATAACAAAACAGGTATCAAGCAAAAATTACAGTTATAATATTTTTGTGAGTCTAAAGTTTCACATAATTTATCTTTCATCAT